AATTGTATTGTAGTAGAACAACACACTACTGCTTACATCCCTCTCTGTTCCAGTCAGACAGCCACTTGTTGATTCAGGAATTTTCAATGTTTTCAAACACGTCTTGTCCGTCGGGTGTGATTGTCAATGACCTGCTAAGCCAGCTGCACATGCCCAGTTCAGATCTGGTTTCGAAGGTCCACATTTGGTGTGGGAGAAGAGCCAATTCATGAGGCTCCGGTTTGTCTGCAATGTGGCTCACGTTCCCCATTCGTGCTATCGGAGGTGGAAACGGACCGGTGCGGAATCTCCCCATGCAGAGAGAGAGAGTTGAGATGAGCATCAGAGAATCTGTGATGGGCCCTGTGTTGACAGTCCCTGAAACGCACACTGAGTGATGGGCTACGTGTTTGCAATGCAGATGTAGGAGAATGCATTTCTGCCGTGCCGAGTAGAGCCAAGCACCTGCCACATGGCAGGCCTCAAGTGTGGTGAGAACGGGCCCTGATGTGCCTTGAAGGCAGATGGACAGATGGATATTAGTGTTAACACTGTGGAAGTTTCTAACCACTTTTATAAGGGCCCGTTAAATGTGTCTCAATCTGCTCCCTCCATCTCAGCTTCATTTTCCGCTGACACATTTATTCTGGAGAATTAAACGGCAGAGCAAATTCGATTGACAGAGAGACATCTCCTTGCCAGCAGACAGTAGGTTCATCTCAGTGATAGCCCCTGCATAGCCTCCTTCCCTCCTCCTCCTCTGCTCCTCTTCTCCACTCCTTGCCTCCTCAGCCCCTCTGCACAGGCCAAGCCGGATATAAATAGCCATGTGGATGGAGGGAGCGAATGTCAGCAAAGCCAGTGCCATGACACATCAGCACTTTGGTAGAGCCAGGCAGGGGTTTTGTGCTTTGCTCCTGTTCTTTCATTCCCTCCATTGCCCTGCTGTTTTGGCCAGCAGGTACTGCCTCACGCTGGTCACAGGAGCCCTGTTTATTCCTGGTTCTAATATGCAGCCTTTGTCCTGATCTTGTAGATGTAGACGATTAAAAGACGCATTGTGATCTGATTGTGATGAGATCTTATAAGTGTAAACAGACAAGATCAGGTCAAGATCATGACGAAGGGCACATTTTAAACGGCATGTATAAACAGGGCTTAGGTCACTGCAGCAAGTTGGTTTGCCTTTATCCTGACTATGGACTAAACTCACCCTTAAAAAAGATGCACATGATTAATCTCAGGCCAGTTGGTGCGTGTGGTATATCCCAGGGGAGTCATGTACCCCAAAAATCTGAGGGGGCACAAAGTATGTGAGCATGGCTAGGGGGTGGTTGGATCATTTTGCATTTTCAAACACCTGAAACAGCGTTTTCCTGCAATCTAGAGCCATAATCATTATGCCTAATTCTATGTTAAAATTATCTATATTTTTCTGCATATCTAAGCATACCTCTTGAGCTGTCTGTACCCTCCTGACTGGTGGTTATTTAAATAAACTAAACATGCTTTTCTGCATCTTTGCTAAAATCTGGTAAAAGATTGAAAGGAATGTATCTTATTCAGTACATTTAGTAATTGCTTCTAAAGTTTACCAACCTTACCAGCAGGCATGCCAGCTAAGACAAGCTAGCTACTCTGATTGATAACCTGAAAGGTTGGGAGATTGGGAACCTATCTGGGCTAGCTAAAGCATAAACGTGCTAGGTGGATAGTAGGTGGATAGTAGTATTACAGAGAAACATTTTATTTATAAAAATACATTTTAAAACAGGACAAATCTGAGGGGTCACGTGCCACTGTGCCCCCTATGGGCATGACGCTTCTGGTATAGTATATTCTGTTCCCTTTCTCCCATTAAATGTCATTTTGAATCAATCACTATCTGTCTATACACAGTCATAGACTGCTCCTAGTATTGCTGTCACTGCAGGTATTTTTGGTTTATCACCAACGGCAACTGTGAGAAAGATTGTGGCGTCAGCTGCACCTAAGTGTTCCATGGCAACCACTGCATGTGTGAACAGGCAAGGTGCAAACCAGAGTGAATGGTACCTTGGGAACAAGGGATTCCGTGGCCGGGCTGAGAGGATAGATTTATTTGCAGTTAGCATCCGAGGGGAATAGGATAGCAGGATGTGTATCAGTCCTGGGGAGGGAGGGGAGGCAGGAGGATATGGGAGATAGACAACTTGCTCAAACTGGGCCATTAATGGGAATGCACCCTCAGGGAGAATGGCATTCCCGTGCTGTGCACTAAAGCAGAAGGATATTCCTGTTACTGCCATTAAATCTAAGCTCTCTGGTAGACAGCAGGCGCTATCTGTCCTGGTTAGTGGAATTATGATAAGTGTGTGTGTTTGTCATAGAGAGAGCCTCAGGGAACAATCACATTGAGGTGGAGGGTGACATGGGGTGTGCAGGTGTTTTCAGCACAGACGGCAGATTTAATTCATATTTAATGTGTTTGATTTGATCTGTGTGGCTTGTTAACCACACTGTGGCAGAGAGGGAGAGAGACGGCTCCCCCAGCTAGTGTGCAAGGTGTGGATGGGATGACGCATGACGAGTGCAACAGTGTGTGAGGCAGTGCCTTAAGCTGTGTGATCCCCCCCAGACAACTAACTTCAATTTAAATGCAGATGGATGAAGGGTCCTACTCATCAGAGACTGGAGCGATTTGATCTGTTTGCAGGAGCTGCGGAGGAGCTGGTAGTGTGTATCTGCCTCCAGAGGACTAATGTCCATATGGTAGAGGGATGCAAGGGGAGAGAGAGACAGAGGGCGACAGATAGAGGCAGAGAGAAACAGAGGGGGACAGGGTGAGTTAGAGAAAGGCAGAGAGAAACAGAGGGGGACAGTGTGAGGCAGAGAGAAACAGAGGGGGACAGTGTGAGTCAGAGAAAGGCAGAGAGAAACAGAGGGAGGAAGAGGGAGGCCGACGGAGACAGAGAGACATAGAGAGACATAGAGAGACATAGGGAGACATAGGGAGACAGAAGGAGACAGGGAGACAGGGGGAGACAGAGGGAGACAGACTCAACATGCTGTGGGTCCAAGGAGGGCGCTTAGGTGGGGTGGGTGGGGAGGGACAGCAGGAGTGCCGCATTACCCAGATTGGCACAGTAGCTTCAGTAAGAGTTGTTACTGTGCAGGGGAACAGTGTTGTCTCTCTCTGGAGCTCTAGTGCAGTGAAGGGAGAGAGTCACATTGAGCAGGTTGGCACATTTCAGACCACCGTTCTGGTTCCACTTACTGGAAGCCACTGTGTGACCTGATACAGGAAAAAGTCTCCAGCCCAGTGTAATTGAATTGTTTTTGTGTTGTTCAGTTTGTTATTGTTAGCCTCTCCTATGCTGTGATGGGGCATCTGTCTCTCTGGCTGCCCTCCATTGATGCCTTAGAGGCATTTTACAGCCACTGAGCCACCACCATACCTTCCCTGAGGGGGTAAATAGACCCTGCCTGGTACTGGTACTGCGTGCCACACCCGTCTCTCTCTCTCCTGGCAGAGCGAGGGGTGACTTGGGGCAACATTTGCCAGACACAGACCTGTTCTGTCACAGCACAATTTCATCCAAAAAGATCCTAATAACTCATTTGATGAGTCACTGCAAATAGCTTTAATGGCACCCTGCTGATGTAGTTGTATAGGTAACTGCCAAAATAAAGGAAACACTTGAGTAAATGAGGGATACAACGTATATTGAAAGCAGGTGCTTCCACAAAGGTGTGGTTCCTGAGTTAATTTTTTTCATTAACATCCCATCATTCTTAGGGTCATGTATAAAAATGCTGGGCAGGCCATTATATTGGCTACCATGGCTATGCCCTCATAGGATGACAATGCCCCCATCCACAGGGCACAAGTGATCACTGAATGGTTTGATGAGCATGAAAACGATGTAAACCATATGCAATGGCCATCTCAGTCACCAGATCTCAACCCAATTGAACACTTATGGGAGATTCTGGAGCGGCGCCTGAGACAGCGTTTTTCTACCACTAACAAAACACCAAATTATAGAATTTCTCGTGGAAGAATGGTGACGCATCCCTCCAATAGAGTTCCAGACACTTGTAGAATCTTTGCCAAGGTGCATTGAAACGGTTCTGGCTCGTGGTGGCCCAGCGCCATTTAAAACACAAATGTTGGTGTTTTGTTTATTTTGACAGTTACCTGTATGTTTGCCAGCCTGAGAGTGGTCATCACAAATGGAATAAAAACAAATAAAAAAATGGAAAGAACTGTTGCCCAATTTGGTCTAAAATTGGGATGTGTACCTTTGTTGTTTCAGGTGAATCTCCTGCTGTCTGGTTCTGCTGTTCCAACATGACCTCAGGCTACTGAAGACCTTCCTGTTATTCCTCCTCCTGCTCTCTGTATCACTCCTACTACTATATTCTCCAATGGGCTCCCACAGTCAAAGTGGCTTTTTCCACCATCACCACCACAGCTCGGTGGTGCCCACGGCCGTGCCCAGGCTTCTCACAGAGAACGGCAGTCTGCTAGGGGGCATCGCCCAGATCACCCCCAACCTCTTCCTGAGCCGGGGCAACGTGGCGTCCAACCGCAGCCTGCTGCTGTCCAAGGGCATCACCTGCGTGATCAACGCCACTATTGAGCTGCCCAACTTCAACTGGCCCCACGTGGAGTATGTGAAGGTGCCCCTGGCGGACATGCCCCACTCCCCCCTCTCCCTGTACTTCGACAGCATAGCTGATAAGATCCACAGTGTGGGGAGAAAGCGGGGGGCTGTGCTGGTGCACTGTGCTGCAGGGGTGAGCCGCTCAGCCTCCCTGTGCCTGGCCTACCTGATGAAATACCACCGCGTGTCTCTGGCCGAGGCCCACGCTTGGGTCAAGGCCCGCCGGCCAGTCATCCGGCCCAACGGGGGCTTCTGGATTCAGCTCATCGACTACGAAAAGAAGCTGTTTGGCAGGAACTCTGTGAAAATGGTGCAGACGCCCTATGGGGTGATACCTGACATCTACGAGCGGGAGCGCAGGAATCTGGCACCCTACTGGGGCCTGTAGAGGAGGGCTGGGGCCTCGCCAAGGGGGGAGGGAAGGAGACGGAGAAGAGTGTCCTCCAGTGCTGCCGGTTCATGCATGTTCCCCCAGCCAGAGATGCAGAGTGAGATGAAGTGTGTGACTGTCTGTCTATGTGAAGCTTAATTAATGAATGCATTGGGATGGAGGGAGTCTTAGTAATCAGTCACTACACTGCCGACTTGTAACTGGTGGGTGATGCTACACTACACTGCATCGAACCCCCGTCTGTCTGTCTCTGAGAGGGAGCAAGGCCACCTCAAGTCTGGAATCCTCAGGACCAAAGGAGTAACAGAACCACGACCAAGCCAGACCACAGATCAGCTGACATGGCCAGACCCAGACTGTGACTTTGGAGTCTAGCTTGACTCCCCAGACTCCAAAGAACAGGAGCATTCTGGGAAGGTGTAGGCGGTGCTTTAGACTCAGCAATTCTGACAGGCAGCGGTGTGACTCACAGAAGTCCAGTCCCGACGTAACGTCATGTGATGCTATTGTGCCAGTTTTGCTGTTGTCTTTAATGTGAGAACTAGCAGCAGTCCTGCTCTGTTTAAAACTCTACAATTTCTTTTTGACAAATTGAATTATGCTCTTGGGAGAAAACTGAAATCAAGAAAAATAAAAGATATGGTGCACAATTAATATTTAAAGCTGTTAGGGTATACACATTTTTAATCAAGACAACATCTAAGGCTTATAGTGTGTACACTTAAAAGTCCCTATTTACTATGGGGGATGATCGTGCAGAATATACTGTACTGGTACTAATATTGTACAATATTATGCTATTTTAGAATGTCACCACCCTCTGTTAAGAGGAAGAGAGTACTGTGTTAGGGGCTTCGGAGAAACACACTTTCTATTTCCCTATTTTTGCCTCATATTGATGTTTAAGTTAAAAGAACACTGGTGTGCTGTCATTGATAAACCTTCCTCTTTTTTTGTGGTTTGGAAGAAGTCTATACGCTACACACGAAAAGCTTTAAATAAAATGTTAATATTACTGTAGCAAGTGAACAATGCCCTTGTCACAGGTGTAAGCAGAAAGCCAAGCTTCCATGAATGTAGTGCTCTATTCAGTCGATCGCTGAAGCGTTACAGATTGTGCGATTGAAATGTAAAGGTAATTTCCGATTGAGCCGACATATGCAGCGTTTACCGTGAATGCAGTCTCCGCTAACGTGGGAACATTGCCTTAAAATTTGTATCACGCTGTAACGCTGAACTTCCGTGATACGGATTGAATAGAGCCCTTAGTTTCATACCCTAAGGCAATGAATGATTAACAAGCTAATGTAACAGGTTAGCTCATGCAACTGTTTGTGTTTGAAATTAATAACAAAATAAAATAAATTACTGATATGCGTTATTGTCAGTTTATACTTTGCCCTGTAAATATGGAATAGTACTGAAGCAGAGTAACAAAATGGATCCAGATACAGCGTGACTGCACTAGTGTATATAAAAAAGAAAATATATACACTGAGTATATCAAACATTAGGAACACCTTCCTAATACTGAGTTGCACCCCTCCCCCCTTTTGCTCTCAGAACAGCCTCAATTAATTGGGGAATGGACTCTACAAGGTGTCAAAAGCGTTCCACAGCGATGCTGGCCCATGTTGACTCCAATGCTTCCCACAGTTGTGTCAAGTTGGCTAGATGTCTTTTGGGTGGTGGTCCATTCTTGATACACACAGGAAACTGTTGAGTGTAAAAAACCCAGCAGCGTTGCAGTTCTTGACACAAACCGGTACACGTGGCTGGCACCTACTACCATACTCCGTTCAAAGGCACTTAAATATTTTGTTTTGCCCATTCAACCTCTGAAAGGCACACATACACAAACCATGTCTCAATTGTCTCAAGGCTTAAAATCCTTCTTTAACCTCTCTCCCCTTCATCTACACTGATTGAAGTGGATTTAACAAGTGACATCAATAAGGGATCATAGCTTTCACCTGGATTCACCTGGTAAGTCTATGTCATGGAAAGAGCAGGTGTTGTTAATGTTTTGTATTTTCAGTGTTTATATGGAACGTTTAGGAATGGTAAGACTTTTGGGGGGGACTTTCAAGTCCCTCAGTCGAGCACCTGATTCCCTTTTTGTTTAAGCTGGGTTGAAGCGTGTTTTGGGTACACCATTATTATTTTTTTTGATTGATAATGGTCAATATTTATCCAAGGTGTTGGTAAAGTCATTGTCAATTTGAGAGCTAATCAGTTGATTGTAACTGACCATGGGGATACTCATTGTAATACAGTGGGGGAAAAAAGTATTTAGTCAGCCACCAATTGTGCAAGTTCTCCCACTTAAAAAGATGAGGCCTGTAATTTTCATCATAGGTACACGTCAACTATGACAGACAAAATGAGAATTTTTTTTCCAGAAAATCACATTGTAGGATTTTTAATGAATTGATTTGCAAATTATGGTGGAAAATAAGTATTTGGTCAATAACAAAAGTTTCTCAATCCTTTGTTATATACCCTTTGTTGGCAATGACACAGGTCAAACATTTTCTGTAAGTCTTCACAAGGTTTTCACACACTGTTGCTGGTATTTTGGCCCATTCCTCCATGCAGATCTCCTCTAGAGCAGTGATGTTTTGGGGCTGTCGCTGGGCAACACGGACTTTCAACTCCCTCCAAAGATTTTCTATGGGGTTGAGATCTGGAGACTGGCTAGGCCACTCCAGGACCTTGAAATGCTTCTTACGAAGCCACTCCTTCGTTGCCCGGGCGGTGTGTTTGGGATCATTGTCATGCTGAAAGACCCAGCCACGTTTCATCTTCAATGCCCTTGCTGATGGAAGGAGGTTTTCACTCAAAATCTCACGATACATGGCCCCATTCATTCTTTCCTTTACACGGATCAGTCGTCCTGGTCCCTTTGCAGAAAAACAGCCCCAAAGCATGATGTTTCCACCCCCATGCTTCACAGTAGGTATGGTGTTCTTTGGATGCAACTCAGCATTCTTTGTCCTCCAAACATGACGAGTTGAGTTTTTACCAAAAAGTTATATTTTGGTTTCATCTGACCATATGACATTCTCCCAATCCTCTTCTGGATCATCCAAATGCACTCTAGCAAACTTCAGACGGGCCTGGACATGTACTGGCTTAAGCAGGGGGACACGTCTGGCACTGCAGGATTTGAGTCCCTGGCGGCGTAGTGTGTTACTGATGGTAGGCTTTGTTACTTTGGTCCCAGCTCTCTGCAGGTCATTCACTAGGTCCCCCCGTGTGGTTCTGGGATTTTTGCTCACCATTCTTGTGATCATTTTGACCCCACGGGGTGAGATCTTGCGTGGAGCCCCAGATCGAGGGAGATTATCAGTGGTCTTGTATGTCTTCCATTTCCTAATAATTGCTCCCACAGTTGATTTCTTCAAACCAAGCTGCTTACCTATTGCAGATTCAGTCTTCCCAGCTGGGTGCAGGTCTACAATTTTGTTTCTGGTGTCCTTTGACAGCTCTTTGGTCTTGGCCATAGTGGAGTTTGGAGTGTGACTGTTTGAGGTTGTGGACAGGTGTCTTTTATACTGATAACAAGTTCAAACAGGTGCCATTAATACAGGTAACGAGTGGAGGACAGAGGAGCCTCTTAGAGAAGAAGTTACAGGTCTGTGAGAGCCAGACATCTTGCTTGTTTGTAGGTGACCAAATACTTATTTTCCACCATAATTTGCTAATAAATTCATAAAAAATCCTACAATGTGATTTTCTGGAATTTTTTTTCTCAATTTGTCTGTCATAGTTGACGTGTACCTATGATGAAAATTACAGGCCTCTCTCATCTTTTTAAGTGGGAGAACTTGCACAATTGGTGGCTGACTAAATACTTTTTTCCCCCACTGTATTCATGGTGATACTCACGTTAATTTGTAGGAAACATTGTTTCTCAGGTTTATTATTCAGACCATTGGAAAATAAAGATGTAATGAGGTTAACAGGACAATTAGTTTAGAATAATTGCAGCATTTTTCACTTTTGATAGATCCTGTTAAAAGTCCTGCTATCCAGCTGTGCCAACAGTGAGGCTGGAATGATTATAACGTGGTTCTCTATAGACAAAGACAATTCAGAAGTTTCTGTAAAACATCATGATTGAAAATACACATTCCTACAATTTAACCTTGTGCTCTCTGTTTCTTTGTGACTTTAAAAGTCTTTAATAGAGAGGTTGATATAAAAGTACACTCTGTACACCGGCTCCTTCAACAGAAGACCATGGATGCATCCCAAATGGCACTCTTTTCCCTATATAGTGCACTTCGTTTGACCAGAGCCCTATGGTGTCTGGTCGCAAGTAGTGCTCTATAAAGGGAATAGGGTGTCATTTGATTTGGGACGCAGACTACTGAAGTCGCTCACAACCATTTGCCCCAGAGAAGTCTTCAGATGTCACAGCAACATTCTATAATTCATTTTCATTTGGCATGGCCACAGAGAACCAGACAGACAGTGATGGGGACTATTTGTCTTGTGGCCTATTCTACTGAGGGATCTCCAGAATGGCCTACACAATAAACACCATTAACCACACAGACACTGGCTCCATCAGATGACAGGTCAAGCATAATGAGATGCAGGAGTGATGGGCCCAAATTATACGTTTCTGTACCAGCTTGCTTCCCCCAATGGACTGACTGTGTGTGTGTGTGTGTCTCTCACTAGCTGATCCTCAGGGAATAGTTAGCCATCCTAGAGTAAAGACATACTTCAGCAGCAGAATATGACCATTAATCAGGAAACCAGTAAGCAGAGCGATCTACATCACCCTGAACATCAGAGGCTGTAGACTGGGCAGCAGTGCCGTGGCGCAGGCCATGCAGAACAAACTGCTGTCCTGAACTTGGATGAGATGTCATTAGGCTGTATGTAGGAAGGAGATGTGACTGGCAAATGGTCTCACAACAAACTACCTGCCTGACTGCAGCTTAATACGCTCTGCAGAGCTTGGAAGGTTGCACTCTCATCAAGTTTGTCTCTTAGAAGATACTCCATTTTAAATTGGAATATGATAAAATGCAAATAATATTTTTTCATGACACTAACATAGTAGTAATGTTATGATGCATCGCATCTCTGAAAAAAAAGGAAAGTGTTCCTATTCCAGTAGCCTTGAACTTGAATTGATGCCCTGAACACTACAGATGTAGGATCTTACTTTGAGCCAGTTTGTTACAGCAGGAAAATAATCATGCAGCAACAGGAAATGTGAATTATACTGAAAAAATATATAAATGCAACATGTAAAGTGTTGGTCCCATGTTTCATGAGGTGAAATAAAAGATCCCAGAAATGTCTCATATTTTGTGCACAAATTTGTTTACATCCCTGTTATAGTGAACATTTATCCTTTGCCAAGATAACCCATCCACCTGACAGGTTTGTCATATCAAGAAGCTGATTAAACAGCATGATCATTACACTGGTGCACCTTGTGCTGGGGACGATAAAAGGCCACTCTAAAATGTGCAGTTTTGTCACACAACACAATGCCACAGATGTCTCAAGTTTTGAGGGAGCATGCAATTGGCATGTTGACTGCAGGTACGTCCACCACAGCTGTTGCCAGATAATTGAATGTTAATTTTTCTACCATAAGCTGCCTCCAACGTCGTTTTAGAGAATTTGGCAGTACATTCAACCGGCCTCACAACCGCAGACCACGTGTAACCATGCCAGCCCAGGACCACCACATCCGGCTTCTTCACCTGCGGGATCATTTGAGACCAGCCACCCGGACAGCTGATGAAACTGAGGAGTATTTCGGTCTGTAATAATTCTGATTGGCTGGGCCTGGCTCCCAAGTGTGAAATCCAAATGAATTTATTTAAATTTACTGATTTCCTTATATGGCCTCCCAGGCCCACCCTGCCCAGTCATGTGAAATCCATAGATTAGAGCCAAATGAATTTCTAAATTGACTGATTTCCTTATATGAACTGTAACTCAGTAAAATCGTTGAAATTGTTGCATGTAGCGTTTATATTTTTGTTCAGTATAATTATGTGGATTGTAATATATTTGTAATATATTTTGTAGAGGTTGATACATATTACATTAGGACAAATCAAGTCTGAAATTCTAAAGTTGAAATTGCAAACTTTAGAAGCCTTTTTAAACCTTGAACACAAGTTTACATTTCCTGCTGTTGAAGAAAATTCTCATCAACAAGAGTGATCAAATTAGATCTTACATCTGTATAATAGGTGTGGTTCCATTCTGCCTTTTATGCTTACTTTTAATTAAAGTAGCTCATCCTGTTTTCTTCCTGGTATATATCATGCTTTTCTATTTAATAACAAGTTACAGACAGAGAGCATAGCCACAATATTCGGACAAATAATAATCACGCTTGTCACACCATTGATGGCATAAGAGAAGGCTGCCTGAAAGGGACATGGTTTTCTAAAGCAACCAATCCTCACACAGGAGGGGGGAGATGCACTTTATGACAATACCTTTACAGCAAATGAAAACTACAGTAACCTTGGTAACAGTCACCAAGGGCAGTGGTGCTGTTAGTGATTAATATTAACACTGAATCAATGCCTGGGCACAGTAATCAATTGCTGTGGCAAGCGAGCGCTGTGGAGGAAAGAATGGTGGGAGGAGGTGAGGAAGAGAGAGAGAAAGAGAGAGTATACTGTATGTATGAATGATAGACTGAGTTCATGTCCATTTGAAAGTGAAACTCAATAAAAAGGGAGACAGAATGTGATGGTTGATGAATAGCCCAAGCATCATCAAAGCAGTTATATTTGTCCATCACGGAACCGTCTGTGTTCATTCCAAAACCATTTGGTACAACGACTTCTATTGAAACACAATCATGGATGGGTCAGAAACCGAACACAGAAAATCACAGAATTCTTGCTCCTTCTCCATAGTTATATAGTCAAAGATTGAAGTTCAATCGAGAGAGAGAGAGACTGACCTTGAAGTAATTAAATTGAAGCGGGGGTGGATAAAGTCATTCTTTCTCAGTGAGCGGTTGACTGAATGTGATTCTATCCTCTCTTTGAGCCTGCCTTCAACTCATCTGTCCATTCCCCTTTAGAATGAACACTGATGTGGTCTAAATCCATGGCCCTACCTCACTGGGTTGTCTGGATCCGTTTATAGAAAGGTCACAGATGCTGAATACTGTCTATTTGTAATAAATAATACATGAATGATTAATACATAGTAATGATTTCTAATAGTTTCATCTCGTCATTGTTCAACTGAACAATTGAAAGGGGCTGTAGGAGATATCTGACAAATCTTGTCAGTGCCTTCTTCAAAGACCCATATTTGACCAGACAGGGTTTTCAAATCATTAATTTCTAAGTACAAGATCTTGGACACTCAAGTGAAAATCTTCACAGATCTCAAGCCCTTTAAGCCTCAAGCCTTTTAAAAACAGCAAAACTACAGCTTAGTCTGAAATATCACCCATATTAGGCTGTGAACACTAGCTTTCATGGCCGATAGGATGTTTGTATGAATTACAAAGACAAAAAGAAAAATATACATTTTTCGAAGGACATCAAAGTAATAAAAATCCTCACTTGAGAATTAAGAGTAAAGGCAATTATTTGCGTGCCAGGTGAGGAAAAATCTGCCTTTAATCAATACAGTGACTGACAATGGGCAGAAAATATGAAAGAGCCTGCGGCTGAAGAATAGCGGTCAATACAGTAGGGTAGCACTCCCTCCCATCTCTCTAGACCCATTCTCCTGAGGTGATCCTCTGAGGCACAGCCCTGCAGACAATACTAGGCATGAAGAAGACAGGACATGGGGAGAGACAGGTGGGTCTGCATTTCAAATTTACACAGCCTTATTATTCAGTAATTTATTTGAGCGTTTGTAATTTTCTGTAATCCGGCAGCTCACAGTGAGTAGAGGACGGATAGAGGAATTCATTTTCAGCAGGATGTTCAATTAGGGAATGGTGAGAGATAAAATGTATGTTGGAGAACACACACACCTGTCCTGTACACACGAGGCAACACAATGATAATGAGACTGGTTCCATGCATGGTGCCACTGTAGGCATCTTTTTCTTCTGATTGTCTTAGCTCTCTGTCATCCAGCGATGGCCCAGCAGGCTTGTCTGAGGGTAATGTATTTCATTTGGTCACAAAGTGATAGAGATGAAGCCTCTCTGGTCTGAGAAATAGCAGGTTATTGAGTGAAATAGAAAAGGTGAGACAATCTCAAACCATTTGGCGTAAGTACTGCTTATATGATATTGCTGCATTAGACTCTGAACATGACTTTGTTCCAGATGTCATCCAGATTAAACGACTTGTGCTATTGGGACAATAGAATGCCTTCAGGATTCATGTTGACATTCAAACCAATTCAACAGAATTGTGCAATACTCTTAATTGATTTGTATGGTAATAGGCTTCCAGGTAATACATTAATTGATGACTTGATTCATGACCATGAAAAGTATTTAATTTATGCATCAATGTATTATTTATGTAAATGTCATCATTCCACATTACAGTTAGTCATTGTAATTACAATACTAAGATACTGTAATCCACACAAAGTGCTGCTGCAATAGTAGTCCATAATCACAGTTGACTTCATTCAAGACTTAGATCTGCAAAAACATCACCATCATCAGCGCGAGTATATATACACTGGCACAGCAAGACAGAAAAACAAAACCCACAGCCAACAACCTTTAAGAATTAAGACTCTCTTTCAAGTCACAAAAATGTTCAAACAGCACATTAACATTCATTTAGATAAAGCAGTCCCTATCAAACAATACAAAGACATTAAAAAGCATTTAAATGTCACACAATATTTAAAAAGATAAATATCAATTAAAATGTTAGCAACCACAGACTATCCTTTTAGAGACCCGACCGTCAAATTGATTCAGTTCCAGCAGTGTGATGATACCACATCCCTGATTAGAGAACAGAGAGGAGAAAATACTACTTTAAGACTGAAACCAACAAAGTCCCTCTTTCTTTGCTGAGCTCAAGCATTAAAGAGTAACAAAGCAACAAGTGAGGGAAACGACAAATAGCTTTACATCTCAGTTTGTCTCCAAGTTCCTTCGTTACTAGTATATTGCAAATTTTTTATCGTTTGTTATGGACTTGTTGAGTCACAGAAAGAGTGCATTACAGAAAGTGTTGAGAGACCCATTACCCTATTCATAAAACTTTCCAAATTTTCTCCTGCTCTGACATAGGGACTAGACCTCCTTTGGGTTACCGTAGCACAACATTGGTTAATTATCTGAATACTGTTTGACGAAATAAATCAAGCCTGCCAGAGAAGTCGCATAAGCATCAATGCTAAAAGGCCAACTTGTAACTTCTATTGCATTCTACTGTATATGAGACCAGACAAAGTCAAACAAAAAAATAGACAAAATGAGACCATTCATGAAGTATAATTTCACAATACATTATGATACAGAATAGGCTTTACAGTGCCAAGCTTTGAATTTGTACAAACTAGCAGATTTGCACTTCTTCACCTCCGCAAAGAGCACAGAGAGAACCTCTGAGAGAGAAAGAAAGAGAGAGAATAAAAGGCTAATAAATAAAGAGGATTCCAGTGACTTCTGAGTTCTCTCTCTGTGATCTCTGCACTTGCAGCCCAAGGTGAGAGGCCGTGAGGTGTACGGCAGAGAGTCCGGCTGTTGCACCTTGCCGGTGTTGATTACCTGGTGCCCGTTGCCATGGCAGCGGTGTCTGCAGTTCAGAGCAGGTCGGGCAGAATGAGGCCCGGTGGTTTGGGCTCCACGCAGTTAATCCAGAAATTGGCACAGCTGGCGTGGTACTGGTGGCCCCCGTACGGCAGCTTGAAGTTGTCCGTCTCTGAGTTGAAAGCCTGGCGGAAAGGTCAAATAAGAGAGAAACGGGGGTGATGTTAGGACAACAAGGTTCTACTGAATAGTTAATAAACAGATGAACTTGGCAGTAGCTCAGGCTAACAAATAGAAATCAGTGGTAAAGATAAATCAACGATCAACAGTAACAAAATAATTAATCTATGAGAGTAACGCTAGAAGCAGGGATTTGTGGGTAGCTTAACCTGCATACAGTATCTCTACTGTGGCACACAAACAAGGGGTCAATGAAAACTGATCCTTTGAAAATATGACTCATGTTTGGCACATCTGTTTACTGATCAATAAGACTGTTGCTCATTGCCTGTCCTCCTGACAGTTAGTTGAATATATTGAGATAGCTGAATGGCACTCCCACATAACATCTGACTACAGCCGTTGAGAAAATAAACTTAGTGAACTGAGAGGGGCAGAGAGCTGTTATGTGAGCTTGCATTTAGATGAGCCCAGCTGTAGCAGCAGGTTGGTGATAAGGAGGAGATGCTAATGTGTGTGTTGTGCGGTTTAAGAGTTTTCATCCCTGGTGAAATGTCAAAACTAAAGCAACAAAGATAAATAAGTCATCTGTGATTAATCATATCCTCCCACAGACAGATTGCATATACAACAACCTAGAAACACACACACCATACAGTGTACTCATACCTGTACACCTGCTCACAAACCGTTTACAGTACATTTACTATGCTGTGCACACCGGTTGCCTTTCTCACACACACTCACACACTCCTTTTCTCACACACTCAGGTTTCACAGACACAATGTACTGTCGTTCCGTCTTCTGTGCCTCCTCCTACTTCTTTTCTCAGACCTGCATTTAGCCTGCCTGCCAAAGCGTGGAATGTTGGAGAGAGAGAGAGAGAGAGAGAGAGAGAGAGAGAGAGAGAGAGAAAAGAAAGAGGAGAACACAAAGGCATAACCCCTAGTCTCCTTCTCCTCTCTCTTCTTCAATCCCACTCCTCTCCTCCTCCTCTCCCTCACCTCCACCTCCCCACTCCTTGCCTGCATAACCGTAATTATGTGCAATTTACCCATCAAACATGATTGTGCCAACATACATAATGTGGAGAGTCATAACATAACTAGAAAGTGCTGGATAGAGGATATGTTTGGGAGAGTTTGACCATTTGAAAACAGATGGAGGAATAAAACAAAAATGAAAGGTCAGCATGATTAATCCTAGGTGACCTTTCTAACTGTAATCTAAAGGTTAATAACCCTCCATTAGGAAACCAAGAGGACAGTGCTGCTCATGGTGCTACAGAGCTACAGACTAGAAATGCCACCTGTTAATGCAAGGGGCACCATGCCTAAAGCAGGAAGCTACAGTCTACTGCTGCTTAAGAGGCAAAAATAAGTGAAGCATACCCTTACCCTTAACCTCCTGTCATGGTCTTTAGCCAGTGCCTGTAAGTAGCACAAGAGGTGTCAGCATTTTCCTGGTTTCATGCATTGTCCTGAGTAAGCAAACTGAAACTGTACAGTAACTGAGGATCAGTCCGTCAGTACGTACGGAATGTTGGTACACCAAAGGAACTGAAAGAGCAACCCGTCTCCAGAACATTCCAAGAGCCCCAAAGTGAAAGAATCTAAAGTACCACCCTACGATCATCCATCTAATTTTCCAATAAACATCAAACAGGGATGGGCATCTTTCAAACAGGGATGGGCAAGATTCCAGACTCTGCAATAGATTTGAGATAAATACTATGCAGTATGCAAACCCATGGAATTAGGCAGCCACTGCCAAATACATTTATTTTCCAGAGAAAGTCATAACCAAATTACACAAACTGAAAAATAACTTCAAATACTGGAGGTACAGTATATTTCAGAATCTGACATTTATGAATAATAATGCATCCTACTGCATAAATTATTATTGGGAAAAAATTCTCTGGAAATAATTTGCATTTATCATTGAGCAAAAATAGCAATACTTCATTAAACTCAAATTATCACTCAGAGAGTTTATAGCTTGTTGCAGTCTCCAAGTAACAAACTATGTTTAGATGCTACCTGTTGCTTAGCCTGATAGCAGATCTGTATGTGCTTTAACCAACTCCCTTGTCATTCGTTGTCATGCCATACATGTTTGACATGACAACAAGCACAACAGAGGCTAAAACCCAGACTGATCTGCTACCAGGCTACATGTTTCTGTTGCCCATCCCTGACTCAACGTATGAGGATGATTGGATGAAGAACATGGAGACAGATCTCCATTGGATAAGATAAAACACAGACCCGAGTCAGCAGTCTCAAAGACCAACAACCTAGCTCCAGTCTCTCAATGGTGCCCAACATAATATTATGCAAGCGATGCCATCATCACCACACACCTACAGACAGAACCTACCTGTACTCTGAAAGACAATACTATTATCAGCTTCTGTATTAAAACGCTTTCTGTGATTTCATTATTCTCTGAGGGGATGTTATTCTCTGTTTGGCTTTTATGCTTTCTTACAAATGCTCCTCTGAACAAAAATGTAATTAAAAGGGGCATGCTGAATAAAACTATTATTCAGCCTGACTCACTCCACACGAAAGAGAGAGAAAGAGAGAGATAAACACAAAGCGAGAGAAACACAGAGAGAGAGTAGGTGTGTGAGAGAGAAAGATAGAGAAACAGAAAGATAGAGAAAGCGCGAGAGAGAAAGAAAGATAGAGAAATACCCTATAACCCTCAGCAGATTTCTTAGCACCTGCGCTCCCAGCTCCTGACTGATCTGATGCATCTAAACTCAGTCCAGACTCCAGAATCACATCCCTCTCAGCCATCCTCATCAATCTATCTCTGGCTAAATGATGCAGGGGAACACAGCAAGAAACAATTAAGTCAAACAATAATATTAATGGTCCCCAAAATGACAGATAGTTACTGATGATCAGGGTTTGACAAGTGGAAAAGAAAGTGTCACAAACACATCTTAAGCCATAGCAGAACTCAAATGAAGTCACAAATGAACACACAGATATGGATAAGTATTGTATAGACTTGTTGTTAGTAGCTGGTAAGAGGTGAAGTGAAAGGTGACCGTCAGATGAAGGTTGAGCTACAAGCTTGTTATTGTCAGAGTAAAGCTGCATGCTTCAATGACCCTCCAGAAACCTTCCCACAATTCCCTCAGCCCAACCAGAGGTGCCAAAAGAACAACTTTACTCCTCTCACATCCTATCTGTCTGTCTGTCTGTCTGTCTGTCTCCTCCAACTCTCTTTTTATCTCCCTATTTTTCCTCCTTCTCTCCCTTCCTGAAGAGTTATCATCTTAACGGTTATCATTTTATCATCATATTCTAAGACTCATAAGTGAAGATGACCTAAAATAATATTGGAGAATTTGGTGAAATAGGATTGCCTGGTCACTTCTAACCCATCTGTGCATGAACACAGTGCTACTGCTGTCGGCACTGGCAGCGTATCAAATAGCACTCTATTCCCTATATAGTGCACTAGTTTTGACCAGGGCCCATTGTGTCTTTTGGGATGCAGTCAGTGTGAAGGGAGGGAGCTGTGAGGAGAAGAGTGTGCTGTCAATTTGGCACCCCATCATCTGTCTATCAGCAGAGAATTTGGCCCCCAGGCCCCCAGTAGGAGAGAGTGAAATGAGATTCAGTTGACAGTTCACTGCCTCATACTCTTTTAAACAGACGTCCAATAGTTGTCTCTTCTTTGCTCTGCAAAATGTTCAAAGTCAAAGAAACGATCATTTAGTTATTATGCGTCAACCACTAGCTTAAAAACAGCTCTAAAAGAAATGGCAAAATGATTCATGGTTTAGTCAACTTCAGAAATCTGTTGGAACGTATTTGTAATCAAATGTTTCAACAGTTGTTGGGTCCATCTGTTGAGGGATTGCGGGTGTGTTGGTTGGCAATCGTTATTGTGTGTTGACTGAGAATTACTGTATGCTTATATGTGTTGTTGTGTGTGCGCAAGTGTGTGTCTGTACATGAGAGTGTGTGTGTGTGTGTGTGTGTAGACCTTGCTGCGTGAGTCCACATTGAGCAGGCACACCCCACAGGCCAGCTCCTTGGCGTTCTTGATGCCGTGTCTCAGGATACAGGAGGAGAAGTCCAGAGAGCTCTCATCAGGCTGTACAGAGAAACACACAGCATAACATTACACACACAGTTCTCCCGAGTGGCGGGAGACCCATGAGGCGGCGCACAATTGGCCCAGCGATGGGACAAGGATGTCCTTGTCTCATCGTGCTCTAGCAACTCCTTGTGGCTGGCCGGGCGCATGCACGCTGACTTCGGTCACCAGTTGTACAGTGTTTCCTCCAACACATTGGTGTGGCTGGCTTCCGAGTTAAGTGAGCAGTGTGTCAAGAAGCAGTGAGGCTTGGCGGGGTCGTGTTTCGAAGGACGCATGGCTCTCGACCTTCGCCTCTCCCGAGTCCGCACGCGAGTTGCAATGATGGGACAAGACTGTAACTACCAATTGGATATCACGAAATTGGCTAAGGGCTGTTCTTAGGCACGACGCAATGCATTCAGTGCTCGAACGACCTGGTTTACAATACCTGGATACAGACCACTGTAACAGCTTTCTCTCCAACACTGAGCTACAGAACACTAGCTCTAAGGAATACACATTTCTCTATTAATTCATTAACCAGCTAAATTAACTGAAGTAGAAATATGTCAATACAATCCATTAGTCTGTTGGCAGCAGAGATGAACAAGTGAGAGTGCCCCGTGCGTGCCTGCAGAATCAGAAAGCAGCTGCAGGTCTACGGTCTGAGATAACGTAGCATTACTACTCACTCACTCACTGACTGACTGACTCCATCTCCCTCTACCTCTCTCTCCGCTCCAGTAATTCTCTCTCTTTCTGTACTGACATTATCTTGAGTCAGGAGATGGCGTCCTGTATTATCTGCTGGCATTTGAGAAGCAATGTTCTTCGTGAGGCTGTAAGGGATAAGGCCAGCACATCTCCTCTTGGCCTCTGATCTCCATACATCCCTACAGCCTACAACAGACTGCTACACACTAACAGATACCACCCTAGGGTTTGGTTTAGTACACTTTCAAGGTTTCATTGACTATCCTATTAGGCATGAGTCTTTATCCACTCAACATTTAATCAGGAACACTTTCTAGACAAAGTTGTTACAATCAAGTGTCAATTTCTCAGGTCTGTGTGAAGCCAAACCCACTGCATTGGAGGAAGGGAGGTCTGTGTGTGTGTGTGTGTTTGTGTTGACTGTACTGTGTGTGTGAGTCTGTGTCTGTGCGTGCGTGTGTGTGTCTGGGTCTGTGTGTGTGTGTGTGTGTGTGTGTGTGTGTGTTTCTTACCGCCAGGTTGGCCAGGGACATGAAGCCCATGAGGTTGTTCCACACGTGGCTGATGTCCTTCAGCAGCTGCTGTAGCTTCTCAGAACACACGGCCGTGGCCTTGATACCCAGCTCCACACGCTTGGTCACGCGGTATACCTCCACCACACCTGCCACATAAACACACACACTTACAGTGCCTTCAGAAAGTATTCAGACCCCTTGACTTTTTCCACCATTTGTTACATTACAGCTTTATTGTGAAATTGATTAAATAAATAAAAATCTCATCAATCTACACACAATACCCCATAATGACAAAGCGAAAACAGGTTTTTAGACATTTTAACAAATGTATTAAAAATTAAAAACAGAAATACCTTATTTACATAAGTATTCAGACCCTTTGCTTTGAGACTCGAAATTGAGCTCAGGTGCATCCTGTTTCCATTGATCATCCTTGACATGTTTCTACAACTTTACTGGAGTCCACCAGTGGTAAATTCAATTGATTGGACATGATTTGGAAAGGCACACATCTGTCTATATAAGGTCCCACAGTTGACAGTGCATGTCAAAGCAAAAACCAAGCCATGAGGTCGAAGGAATTGTCCGTAGAGCTCCGAGACAGGATTGTGTCGAGGCACAGATCTGGGGAAGGGTACCAAAAAATGTCTGCAGCATGGAAGGTCCCCAAGAACACAGTGGCCTCCATCATTCTTAAATGGAAGAAGTTAGGAACCACCAAGACTCTTCCTAGAGCTGGCCGCCCGGCCAAACTGAGCAATTGGGGGAGAAGGGCCTTGGTCAGGGAGGTGACCAAGAACCGGATGGGCACTCTGACAGAGCTCCAGAGTTCCTCTGTGGAGATGGGAAAACCTTCCAGAAGGACAACCATCTCTGCAGCACTCCACCAATCAGGCCTTTATGGTAGAGTGGCCAGACGGAAGCCACTCCTCAGTAAAAGGCACATGACAGCCTGCTTGGAGTTTGCCAAAAGGCACCTAAAGGACTCTCAGACCATGAGAAACAAGATTCTCTGGCATGATGAAACCAAGATTGAACTCTTTGGCCTGAATGCCAAGAGTCATGTCTGGAGGAAACCTGGCACCATCCCTACGGTGAAGCATGGTGGTGGCAGCATCATGCTGTGGGGATGTTTTTCAGCGGCAGGGACTGGGAGACTAGTCAGGATCGAGGGAAAGATGAACGGAGCAACGTACAGAGAGAGATCCTTGATGAAAACAGGACAATGACCCTAAGCACACAGCCAAGACAACGCAGGAGTGGCTTCGGGACAGGTCTCTGAATGTCCTTGAGTGGCCCAGCCAGAGCCCGGACTTGAACCCGATTTAACATCTCTGGAGAGACCTGAAAATAGCTGTGCAGCAACGTTCCCCATCCAACCTGACAGAGCTTGAGAGGATCTGCAGAGAAGAATGGGAGAAACTCCCCAAATACAGGTGTGCCAAGCTTGTAGCGTCATACCCAAGAAGACTCAAGGCTGTAATCGCTACCAAAGGTGCTTCAACAAAGTACTGAGTAAAGGGTCTGAATACTTATGTAAATGTGATATTTCCGTTATTTATTTATTTATTTTTATCAATTTGCTAGAATTTCTAAAAACCTATTTTTGCTTTGTCATTATGGGGTATTGTGTTTAGATTGATGAGGAAAAATACAAATTTAATCAATTTTAGAATAAGGCTGTAATGTAACAAAATGTGGAAAAAGTCAAGAGGTCTGAATACTTTCCGAATACATTGTAGACATTAACACACAACCTTAACACACCTGCTCCCAGTTCTCTCCCACATAAGCCAAGGTTAGACAGTGAGAAATACAACAGGGACAATGAAAAACACTTCCAGGAAAACAGCTAACATGTCTACACTCCCCTATGTTGAAACCTTCTCTGAAGATGGATCATTAGACCAAACTGACATAATGTTGGCTGTAACACTACACTTCCCTCCCTAGGGATTGAAGGGTTAACATGGAATGGTGATTGGAGGTTGAATGTTTAACATGGAATGATTGAAGATTTAAACATGGAATGGTTATTGATAGAGTTGTTGTTCTCCGTTGAGGTGGAGAGCTCAAAGGTTTATAATGGTCTGTTTTTGGAAGAAGACTCTCAGCAATTGTGGTACACTGTGTTCTGTTCTCAGCCCCTCACAAAGGCAAGTGTGTCTGCGCCACTCTCACCACTCATTAAAAGGAGACACTGTATCTCACCCAGTAGGTACTCCATGCCCTGAGCAGACTGGATGACCTCAGTGCAAACAGTAGAGCTGCTGATGCTGTTCAGGGTGTTGTTGGCTTTAGTGATGACCTGGGGACAGAGACAGACAGCAGAGTGGGTTAGGGTTACACGCTGCACACACAAACACACGCACAAGGGTGGATATAGCAAAACAGGAGAGGGGGAACAGTCCTGTACAGTATCTTACCTGTAGAGCACTCTCCAGACACCTCTGCCACTCATATGCATAGCGCTCACTCTCCTGAAACAACATACTGTAGATGTTAGAATGAGTTCAGATATATGAGAAGACATTTATACATTTCCATAAAGACACTTACAAAAAGACAAAATAACCTAATCAACTTAAGGCCAAAGCCTCTGTGGTTTGCTACTGAAATGTGTATTTATTATGGATCCCCATCTTCCTGGGGTCCAGCAAAATTATGGCAATTATACATTTTTAAAAACATTACAATACATTCATTACAGAATTCACAACACACTAAGTGTGTGCCCTCAGGCCCATACTCCACTACCACATATCTACCACACAAAATCCATGTGTGAATGCATGTGTCTGTGCCTATGTTTGTGTTGCTTCACAGTCCCCGCTGTTTCATAAGGTGTATTTCTATCTGTTTTTTTTATTTTATCTGATTCTACTGCTTGCATCAGTTACCTGATGTGGAACAGAGTTCCATGTAGTCATGGCTCTATGTAGTACTGTGCACCTCCAATAGTCTGTTCTGGACTTGGGGACTGTGAAGAGACCTCTGGTGGCATGTCATGTGGGGTATGCATGGGTGTCTGAGCTGTGTGCTAGTCGTTTAAACAGACAGCTCAGTGCTTTTAACATGTCAATACCTCTCACAAATACAAGTAGTGATGAAGTCAATCTCTCCTCTACTTTGAGCCAGGAGAAATTGACATGCATATTATTAATGTTAGCTCTCAGAGTACATCCAAGGGCCAGCCGTGCTGTCCTGTTCTGAGCCAATTGCAATTTTCCTAAGTCCCTTTTTGTGACACCTTACCACACGACTGAACATTAGTCCAGGTGCGACAAAACTAGAGCCTGTAGGACCTGCCTTGTTGATAGTGCTGTTAAGAAGGTAGAGCAGCGCTCTATTATGGACAGACTTCTCCCCATCTTAGCTACTGTTGTACCAATATATTTTGACCATAACAGTTTACAATCCAGGGTTACTCCAAGCAGTTTAGTCACCTCAACTTGCTCAATTTCCACATTATTTATTACAAGATTTAGTTGAGGTTTAGGGTTTTGTGAATGATTTGTCCCACATACAATGCTTTTCGTTTTTGAAATATTTAGGACTAATGTCTACTGAATTTCTAAACACTCTACAGAGCATCTGGATAACTGGCAAGGGTAGTTAACATGTCTGGGATAGAGTGACTCTGTGTGGGTCTCACCTCCACCTCCCCAGTCAGGTCCTTGTACTTGTCTCTGATGACGGGCAGGGCAGGCTTCTTCTCACTCAGGGTGTTGGAGCGGTCTCTGAAGGGCTGCTCCGGGGCCGGGGAGGGGGGCGAGCGCCCAATCTCCTTCTCCCCCAAACTGTGGCTACGCTTGTGGGAGCCTGAGACAAGGAGAAGAGGAGAGAGTGTCTTTATACGTACATAAATAGTATATACAGGCAATGTCTGTCATACATACAAATTCCCTTTTAATGGCCACTTCTACTAACCCAGATATGTTGGCTAATTCCAGATATGCACCTGTTTGTTTACTATGGCATAATTGGGACTTTTTACTGAGCTCATATTCTGTTGTGGCTAATTCCTTCCGGACAAGGACACAGACGACAAACACTTCATTTACAACAGATGATAATTATGTACAAAATAGCGCCACGGCAAGCAACGCAAGTATGAATAATTCATGAGGGCTCACTCACTCAACACAGACAGACACACACAGAAAGAACAGACAGATACACACAGAAAGAACAGACAGATACACACAGAAAGAACAGACAGACACACACAGAAAGAACAGACAGATACACACAGAAAGAACAGACAGACACACACAGAAAGAACAGACAGATACACACAGAAAGAACAGACAGACACACACAGAAAGAACAGACAGACACACACACACAAACATGAAAACAGACAGACACATTAAAAAAGACAAACACACAGTCACATGCTGAGCCCAAACTATTCCACAGGGGCTCTGTCTGTCTGTCTGTGTCTGTGGTGTGTGTGTGTGTGTGTGTGTGTGTGTGTGTGTGTGTGTGTGTGTGTGTGTGTGTGTGTGAACCAGGTTATCACCCCCTGCGTAGACATGCATCACCCTCCCCACAGCATGATAGCACTAATACATTCCCTCATTACACCACACTGATCAGATTACCATTCAATAAGGACAGGGGAATAACAAGAAAAACTAATAAAGTTTAACACTGGGCAAGAAATCATTGAGGCAAATTAGCTTTTATCACTTTGGAGGTAAGAATCGCTAATTAACTATGCGTGAAACATAACACCGGAAAACGGCAGTAAAAAATTAACACCCACGGAGTGAATACGGTTAATTTAGTCTGGGCATGGATTTTCTGGGCTGTGTTGTTAATTCATCTCATCTGCCTGTGTTGTGTACCAAGGATGTGTTTTATAGTCTCTGGGCTGTAGTCACAACTCTGCCATCTATTGTCTGACATTGGAACTGCACTGAGCTGCCTGAGGGGCCACAGATGCTCCAATATGAGGTGATGAAAGTCCTGCTATGTCACATCAGGGCCAGCTGATCTGATTCACGCCACTACATCAGAACTAGAAGGCATGGAGTAACTGGACGCAATTTATCTACTTATCAGTTGACTTTCGAAAATAAGAGCGAGTACAGGTCAGATGACTCACCTTGTACAGAGAGGTCAAAGGTGGCAAGTTCGCTCTTGATCATCTCTTCACTGGACTTGACCTTGGTCTGAGAGCTGGCCTTCAGAAAGTCAGACTTCCCAAACTTGGCCTTGTCCCTCTGAAAGACCCCGAACTCATCCAAGGCCTCGTTCAGGTTCCCCTCGGAGCCCAGCTCGGCCACTGCCGCGGGGGAATCCGACTTCTCCGACACCGTGCTGGCAAAGTCCCCAAAGTCATCATCCTCATCCCCACCCAAACCTCCCGGCTCACAAGTGCCAAAGTCAGCGAAGGCCTCAAACTTGCTGTCGGTCGACACACTATCCTCTGTTGAGAAGGTGGTGATCTTAGTCTGGGAGGTGTGTGTGATGGGGATGTTCTCTGTGCTGCCGAACGACATCTCTTTCCTGTGGACTACGTCTAAGGAGGGGAGAGAGGAGGAAACACCAACACCGTCCAGGCCCAGATGCTTCTTGGCCTGACCTTGAGCGGACAGGCATTCCTCTCTGTCTGACCAATCATAGCTGGCCAGGCTGCTGACTGCTGACGTTCCGAAGGGGTCAAACTTCATGTCGTCTCCTTCTGTAATGACAACACAAAATACACACTGGTAGCTCTAAGTGGGAAAAGCATAGGGTGCTGAAATGATATTTACTAGTCTGTCAGCCATGATAAAGTGAAAAGGCATCTGGCGAAGCTATGATATGTTATATGAAAAATACTTACTGTGGAAGCCATATTCTGTTTCTGATGCTGAATGTGTGTTGACTTACAACAAGCAGCTTTACTTTGCTCAGAGTACCACCCCATCTCCCCTACATTGTAACAGTGAGATCATATGCACTGCATTTAATCATGTGCTGCACTCTAATGTGTGTAAGGGTTCACTTACTAGGGTGTGGTCACCAGCTTAAAGGAGGGATAAAAAGCTGAAATCGATTGTGTTCTAAACATATGTTTCTTCACCAGTCTATTTCCAACAGCTGACATAGACGACAGATAATATAGGGGTACAACATACACTCGTTGCTCACATACAAATACAGACAGTGAAATATTAGTTTTGATAATACCAACAGGTTTAGGTTAAAGGGATACTTCAGGATTTTGGCAACGAGGCCCATTATCTACTTCCCCAGAATCAGGTGAACTTGTGGATACCATTTTTATGTGTCTGTGTCCAGTATGAAGGAAGTTAGAGCTAGTTTTGTGAGCCAATGCTAACTAGCGTTAGCGCAATGACTGGAAGTCTATGGGTATCTGCTAGCATAAATTAACCAAGGGTTGTGTTAGCTGTCCGCTGATGCAAAGGAAATAGACGTCCTGTCAGGGTTGGCTGCTGGGGCTGTGAGGTAGATTGGAGATCTGACAGTTCTGATATAGATAAGAAAGGATAGGACATAAGGCCCTGCTGTAGAACACCTCTCTACTGTTTTCTCTAGGTGTGTGACAATACCGTAGCACAAACTATTAGAAGCAGACTGTTCTGCTAACATGATACAAAATGATATCTGTTTCATGACAGATTGCCATGGCAACGTCAGTAGTGGAGTGGAGCAGTTCTTTCTCTGTATTGATTATCTATCCCACAAACTGTGTTGTACAAGCAGAACACTGTTCAATTCATAACATATCAGTAAGGAATCATATGATTACCGGTAACATAAACAAGTACTCACACAGTCACACACACAAACACTCAGAGATACACACTCCTTCTAAGATGCAGTATAACCTGCAGGCACGTGTGGACCCCAGTCAGCGTAGCCTAATGCGTGACAGAACCCTTGCACACAAAAACGCAATTTGTGAAATTGACAAGGAGCTAGTGTAGTAGTAAGCCTAATGTAGCTAGATCATAATCTGCCCTCTGAGGATAGGGAAGGGAGAAAATAAGACGGTACGCATTTCAGCAATACCAATAGTAATATTTATTATGACAACATGGGTAAAGAGAGAGAGAAAGATCACAAAATACTCTGAGAGAGGTCTACTGTTACAAGAGGTTTGCCAAACTAACACTTGTAAAAGTATATTTTAATCATTTAGAATACAAGGGCATGCAGAGTCAGAAAATAAGAGAAGAAAAACAAACAGAGAAAACGGTAAAAGAAAGAAAACCCCAGAAGAATATAGATGCAGAAACCAGAATGAGAAGGCACATTCACAGACTAAAATGAGTAAATCTTTGTAGAAGAAGACACACTGTAGTTGTACTAATAAGGTGGAAAGCAACAGGTTGATTGATTGAAAGATAATTGAATATAGAACACTTGAAAAGCCAAGGTGATTTAAAGGACAGGTTCAAGGCAGGAGAGTGATTAACCCTTTGAAGACCTGAACGCTTCTCTACTATTCTCGCCAGAAAACTCAAACTCAAATGTCAACAGCAGACTTTTGAGATAAAATAACGGTTTTGTCATTTTTAAATCAAAACTGTTTGTGTCCTACTACAATGACATAATGTCAACATTATATAAATAGGATATATTTATACATCTACTACATCCAATAGGACTCAGAGGCATTACATTGCCTTACATTCTATTTCTGAGAATTTGGAGGAGAGGTATGGATCACCAAATCCATTGTTTAGCACATGTATGTAAACTTGTCAAGCGATCATACTACATTTCTCTCCATTTGTGTTTTCTGTATGATTCTTCATAAAACCAGTCTGCTCAAGCTCTCAAAGGGTTAAAGAAACAAAGTGGGCTATCTTACCACAAGACCTTAGAGAGGATCTTCATCTTGTCCAATCACAGGTGACAAAATAGATTTAAAGAGACAGTATCATTTTTCTCTTGCTACCTGTTAGTTCTAGGCTCCGGTGTACAAGCTCTTAATAGGACCCATTCAATAACTAACAGCAAGATAGGGTTTCTCAAGACAACAATCAATCTTTGATCTGAAATATTTTCCATAACTAGCCTATCCGCATAAGTACATTTAATCTTCAAATAGTTTACATAACACATAGTTTAAAACAATATCAGGAAGTCGATCTAGTTTGAAAATAAATAAGAATTCATTTTCCTGTAATAAAAATACACTATTAAATCTGTATACATTTAGTCTTTTTTTCTTTCCTTTGATAAAAACAACTAGTAATACTGTTATGCAGAAAAATGGCATCCTATAATAATATGTTCTTGTCAATTTCACAAATTGAACAGGCAGGCACACCGCAGAAAAACAGCAAGGCAGGGAGGGTATCACTAACTTCAGTGTGTTCTCAGAGAGCCTGTTCATGGACCCACACATAAAAAAACATACCTGAATATCAAAGACAAACGAACAGGCTTCCTTTTGAGCTGCTCTGACCCAAAGGAGCCCCGGTCAGGGAAAAGAGATACTGTCTCTTTAAGGTTGGTTACATTATATCCAGGATTGAACACAGCACAAGCATGGTGAGGCTTTCACACTCCAAGGCCTGCTACTGTACACTTTCTTAAAGATGAGATTTGATTGGTGCTGTCCAAAAACAAAAATCCTGATTGGATGAACATGGGCCAGAATAAAATAGAGCAGCAATTAACAGGTTTCTGGGGAATGTTTTCAACGCTCCACTACACTATCTCCATCATATTAACGGCAAACATTTTGTTGCAGCTCCGGGATCAGTTGCCATTGGTCATTGTCCTACTCTCTCCTTCGAGAGTAGCCTAACAATTTCTGTTAAACTGAAAGTTGATTTATTCTGATGTGCAATAAAATTGAAACAAAGAAATGGGCATCATAACATTGATCATTTCCGATTTAGAATAACTAAAATGGTCAATTCGTAGACGGAACTTGATTGACATGCGTCTTTGCCCAAACTGCTAAAACAAATAAACTGATAGGTTGGCTAGTGTTGAAATATTATAGTCTATAAGGACATCTCACTGCACACTCATGCCAATAGATAAGCACATGGGTGTTAAAAGGAGTGTGCTGCTCACACACAGAGGCTGTAAGGAGAGACCTTGAATGTACTCTGAGGAATATGAGACATGACATGGAAGACGAGATGCTTGGTAAATTAATTATGATCATGGGAGGGGAGAGGAGAGGGTGTTGATATGGACAATGCCTGGACATTAAGGCAAATTAGATTCCATGACAGTGTTTTCATTTAGAGGTTCAGTCCACTGTCTGCTCCGCTAACCTTTGATCTCTTTGTAGTGATGTGGGCTTTGTGGGGTCAAGGCCAAGAGACCACTTAGGTTTAGGGAGATGGAGCAAAAGCACTATGGGAGATTGATACCCAACACTGGGAGTGCCAAGGAATACTATATGGGTACTCACACACAGTAGGAAAACTCACTCGTACACATACAAAACACAACCAAGCAATCACACTCACACATACCAACACACAACGAGCAATCAAAACAATTTACTCAATGCAATATGATCAACTGTAGAGGTAAGGTGATTTCTGCCATTCATAAATACTTTCTGCCTTTTCATAAGTACTTTATTTTCACATAATACTTAAGTACAGTGCATTCAGAAAGTATTCAGACCCCTTCCCCTTTTCCACATTTTGTTACGTTACAGCCTTATTCTAAAACTGATTACATTATTTTTTCCCTCATCAATCTACAAACAATATCCCATAATGACAAAGCGAAAACAGGTTTTTAGAAATTTCGCAAATTAAAAAAACTAAAAAACATAAGTATTCAGACTCATTGCTATGAGAATCGAAATTGAGCTCAGGTGCATCCTGTTTCCATTGGTCATGCTTGAGATGTTTTTACAACTTGATTGGAGTCCAAGTGTGGTAAATTCAATTGATTGGACATGATTTGGGAAGGCACACAACTGTCTATATAAGGTCCCACAGTTGACAGCGCATGTAAGAGCAAAAATCAAGCCATGAGGTCGAAGGAATTGTCCGTAGAGCTCCGAGACAGGATTGTGTCGAGGCACAGATCTGGGGAAGGGTACCAAAAGATTTCTGCAGCATTGAAGGTCCCCAAGAACACAGTGGCCTCAATCATTTATAAATGGAAGAAGTTTGGAACCACCAAGACTCTTCCTAGAGCTGGCTGCCCGGCCAAACTGAGCAATCGGGGGAGATGACCAAGAACCTGATGGTCACTCTGACAGAACTCCAGAGTTCGTCTGTGGAGATGGGAGAACCTTCCAGAAAGACAACCATCTCTGCAGCACTCCACCAATCAGGCCTTTGTGGTAGCGTGGCCAGACGGAAGCCACTCCTCAGTAAATGGCAAATGACAGCCAGCTTGGAGTTGCCAAAAGGCACCAAAAGGACTTTCAGACCATGAGAAACAAGATTCTCTGGTCTGATGTAACCAAGATTGAACTCTTTGGCGTCACGTCTGGAGGAAACCTAGCACCATCCATACGGTGAAGCATGGTGGTGGCAGCATCATGCTGTGGGGATGTTTTTCAGTGGCAGGGACTGGGAGACTAACGGTCCCGTGTAGCTCAGTTGGTAGAGCATGGCGCTTGCAACGCCAGGGTTGTGGGTTAGAATCCCACGGGGGGCCACTAACTGTAAGTCGCTCTGTAAGTCACTAACTGTAAGTATGCACTCACTAACTGTAAGTCGCTCTGGATAAGAGTGTCTGCTAAATGACTAAAATGTAAAAAATGTAAATGATCGAGGGAAAGATGAACGGAGCAAAGTACAGAGAGATCCTTGATGAAAGCCTGCTCCATAGCGCTCAGGACTTCAGACTGGGACGAAGGTTCACCTTCCAACAAGACAACGACCCTAAGCACACAGCCAAGACAATGCAGGAGTGGCTTCGGGACAAGTCTCTGAATGTCCTTGAGTGGCCCAGCCAGAGCCCGGACTTGAACCAGATCGAACATCTCTAGAGAGACCTGAAAATAGCTATGCAGCGACACTCCCCATCCAAGCTGACAGAGCTTGAGAGGATCTGCAGAGAAGAATGGGTGAAACTCCACAAATACAGGTGTGCCAAGCTTGTAGCGTCATACCCAAGAAGACTCGAGGCTGTAATCACTGCCAAAAGTGCTTCAACAAAGTACTGAGTAAAGAGTCTGAATACTTATGTAAATGTGATATTTCAGTTTTGTATTTTTTATACATTTGCAAAAATGTCTAAAAACCTGTTTTGTGTTGTCATTATGGGGTATTGTGTGTAGATTGATGAGGGGGGAAAATAATTGAATCAATTTTAGAATAAGGCTGTAACGTAACAAAATGTGGAAAAAGTCAAGGGGTCTGAATACTTTCCGAATGCACTGTGTCCACGTTCAGGGAACATCTTTACACATTTCCCTTGTATGCCTCTTATTATCATCATGTTTGATTTGATAACGGAGCATTAAGCGTCAACATAATATAATCAATCTGAGGAAGAATTTGGCTTGCTCTGAGTAAAAGTAAAGCCTATTGCAGCATACAGTAACTGGGCATTCTGAAAGTGATGTGAATCAATAAAATCTCCTGCACAGAGGCCCATCACCATTACATGGCCCTGCATTCATCTGCATTCAGCCATTTTAGTTGCGTCCCTCAACACACACAATCACGGCTGGGGAGACAAAAGGTGTATTGAGGAGATGAGCGATGTGAGCTATGACAGCACAGACAGGGAATGAAGGCCAGTGGTATCATAGAGCAGCCTGACTGCATCACATCAACCTGACTCTGTCTCTCATCAACTCTATATGGATGGAGCTAAGAGGAGGTGGAGAGGCCAGTGCTTTTTGTCTGTGCTACACAAATGCTAAACAAATTAGTAATAAATAATACATTCATCAAAAGTACCTTAATATGTTTAATAAATAAATAAATAATAAATAAATAAATATTAGGTTAATAAATATGCTGAATTTAAAACCAGGTAATGATGGGTTTGGGAATGAATGACTGATGGGTGTGATGAGATGATATGCTAATAGTGTGAGGCATTTGACTGTCTCATCATGATTCAGTTATCTGGCTGAGCTAGCTCACTGCTTTGCCCTCTAGTCTAACCCCTGGTTTAGTGGGCGCTAACGGGCACTGAGGGGGGTGGAGACAGAGAGGCCACCGCCAGGCCTACGATTGGTTCTCTATGTGTGACTGGGCGGGGCCTCACCAGAGGAGGCGCACTAGTTCCTCACCTGCGGCGGGGGGTTGGTGGGCTGAGAGGCCCGGCAGGTCCAGAGAGCTGTCTGACATCACATGCTTCAGGTCTCCGCCCATGTCCGACAGCTTCATGTCCAGCTGCACTGACAGAGCATCCTCAGAGTCCTCCTTGCCCACGCTGCTGCCCCCGATGGATGGGAGGTCTAGGGACTTAACTGAAGCCGAGTCCTCCTTGCCTCCATGTTTGAAGGCTGCCAACTTATCCACCAGGCTCTTCTCTGAGGCCCCCAGCGCCGTGCAGAACTTGGACGACTGGAAGTCGGCGAAGTCGTCTGCTTCGCTCCTGAGGGAAGAGAACGAGCAGCCGGCGCTCTCCTTGTTGTCATCGTACGCCAGGCCTCCCTCCAGAGACAGCTGCTTGAACACGTCGTACTTTTCAGAGCCCTGCGGAGCAGTGGTGGTCTCTCCTCTCCCCCCTGCCCTGCCCTCTACAGACCGCAACCCCTCACCCTTGGCCTCCGCCCCAGAGCTGCCGAAAGCCATGAAGTCTGCAAAGTCATCCTGAGATGCTACCACGCCCCCTCCCACAGCAGGGCCAATAGGAGCAGCCTCAGAAGATGAGGCGGGGCCAAAGAGGGCAAAGTTGCCAAAGTCCTCGGCCCCTCCCCCAAGGGGCTTGGCTCCACCTGGTGGGAGCACTAGGGAGAGGTGCACAGAAGGGAAGGGACTGGGCTTGGTCTCAGCAGGGGTGGGGGCTGAGGGAGTCATAGAGGAGAAGAGATCCAGGTCAGCCATGTTGAGAGGGTTTTTAGGCTGAGAGAGAGAGACTGCTGGTTGTTGTTGATGTAGAGACTGAGAGTTAGGGAAAGCAGGAGAGAAGGCTGGCTGAAACATCTTGGCCTGGTCTGGAGGGTCTAGTGGAGAGATGCTGTCGGCGGTTTTAAAGTCTGTGAAGCCATCATCCACGCTGACAGACTTGAAATCGGCAAATCCTTCCCCTGCGAAACAAATAGAACAATTGAAGGAGATTGCAAAATCATTTAACACAGCAGCCAGACAGGGAGGACATTGGCATGACACAAAGTAACATCAGTCGCCTCAGTTCCGGATTTTTTCACAATCCTACAAGAAAGAGAGGGCCGGATTAGTTACGCCTCTGTGACATAGCAGATGCTCGTGGTGAATTTCAAGCTGTGGAGAGAACTGCGCTGGGCTGCAGTCCAGAGACACACTGCTATGAGAGAACAGCAGCAGCACACGGCAGTGCACAAACCACATGCATCAAGCCGTCTGTCCCTAACTGGGACAGGACATGATTAAGCTGTGACTTCAGAGGAAAGAACTCCTTACAATCTACAAAGTCTCAGTAATGTTTTAGATTTTTAGAACAGCATCTTATTCCCAAACCACACATTTTACTTCAATCATGACACAAAGGAAAAGTGGGTAGAGAGAGTTGTGGTTGTAGGGGCTGCTACACCACTGCAGTGACAGAAGCAGGAAATTGTGTTCACACCACTGCTGTTTTGTGGGAAAGAGAGAACTAATAGGCTCATTATGGAGAGTGAGCCTGGCAGGCAACACACAGGAAAGGTCACTGCAATCAGACTCAGGCAGGACTTACTGGAGTCATGAGAGCTGCTGTCCCCATCGGAAACTGTTCTAGTGAAACAGGGAACAGCAGGAAACAGACCTAAATCAGGGCTACTGCTGAATGTACTGAGCACTCTGGAAATGTGTGCAAGATAAAAGCACACACACCAAAAAGCAAACATGGCACTCAGATATTATACAAATAGAATTCTTCTCACTTTCTCTAACCCATTCCCATTTACACAATTGGTGTAATTAAATATAGGTAGAACACATGGCTATTTCTGTCTACCTACAAAAACAAGTCATCCAAAGTATTTTATTTTCTCCTCCAAGGCTGCTGTGACTTTGTGTTTGAAGGTCTGTCAGTTTCTTCCTCTAGCCATCTGTTGAGTACAGGGACCATCTCAGAGCCCAGTCCCACTATGTACTCTCTGTCAGAAGGCTTGGGAGCTGTGGGGGTTCACTTGGGAACAGTGTGTGTGTGTGTGTGTGTGTGTGTGTGTGTGTGTGTGTGTGTGTGTGTGTGTGTGTGTGTGTGTGTGTGTGTTTGTCTCTGTGTGTGTGTGTGTGTGTGTGTGTGTGTGTGTGTGTGTGTGTGTGTGTGTGTGTGTGTGTGTGTGTGTGTGTGTGTGTGTGTGTGTGTGTGTGTGTGTGTGACCCAGCGCAGAGCCAGAGAGGATGGAGAGCTCTACTTACCTACTGGTTTCCTGTCACCTGGTGGCTCTAGCTGTCGGAACACACTGTATTTGTCTCCGCCAACAACATCTGGGTCAAACCAGATAAACAAAACAGGTAAGCTTTCAACTAAATGATAAATGACTGCATATTTGGCAGGCAGGCAGGCAGGCAAATGTACTGTACTACAATCCACACAAAGACTATTAGGTAAGTATTCTATGACAAACAACATCAGCAATGTCTTCTATTTTCTACACATCTGTTAGTTGTGGTGGAGGATGAGTGTATTAGCAGTTGTTGAGGTGTGTGTGTGTGCATGTACATGTGTGTTGTAGGGCCAGGTGAGTGTGTACCTGAGGCAGGCTGAGTGGGCTCTGGAGGCTGCTCCACAGAGAGCTGCTTGAAGACAGCATACTTATCAGAGGATGACGAGGAGGAGCCAGAGACTGGAGTCAGAATGGCAGGAGCACTGCAGACAGACAGACAATACAGCATGCTCAGTCCACAGGGGAGTCTGGGGCTATGTCCCAAGTGGCACCCTATTCCCTATATAGCGCACTACTTTTGACCAGAGTGCGCTATGTATGTAGGGAATAGTAGTGCACTATGTATGAAGGGAATTTTGGACGCAGTCTGGGGGTCAATGCTGCGCCTATCTCCTATACCTTAATCCCTTTAAGCTGCCTGAGCTAATTGGACATTTATAATCATGAAATCCCACAGCAGTTTTACACCATACTGGACCGCAGATAAGACACAGTGAATCAAAACCCTGGAGGGATGAGGGGCCTCTCCAGACACCTAGCCTTCCACTGAACATCATCTTGTTAAGAACCATTCTACTGCTGCTGTGATAGCCACCTGTCTATACTGAGGATTCAGCATGGGGTTTCTCAGTCTCCCTTTTAATTAGACAGTGATCTGAGACCGGGGGGGGATTGGAGATACGCAGGAGGAAACAATGAAGCTTTTGTTTTTGGGGAGAGAGGAAGGGTATTGTAAGGGACTATGCCACTCAGACGTGTGAGATCCTTTATTTCCACATTCTCTTTGTCTTATAAGATAACTGGCTTTGCGCTGCCTCTCCCTGAGGGACAGACTCCCCACGCAGGGTTTGAAAAGTAATATAAAGAAACTCTACTGTCCATTGAAATTGATTCATTAAGAGATGGCGAGGTGCAATTGTTATGCTGGAGAGACTATTACAAGCAACTAAGAGACCATGTACTTGTTACCCACAACACCTGTATAACATGTAGTATTCAGCTTTACTTCCATACAGAATGAGTAATCTGATTTAAAGTAATACCAAACACTGATCCCGCCACTGAAGTCAGTCACTCCAGCCAGTCTGCACTGTACCTGTTCTGGTGCTGAGAGGGTGTGGTGGTGGGGAAGGTTCCCCCTGACTCCCCCTGGAACTCAGTGAAGGACTGGTCCCCTCCTCCTGCCCTGGGGGCCTCCTGGAAGTCCTGGAAGTCATCATCGTCTGCTTTCCCCTAAACACACCACCAAGACGATGGACATGAGTGAGTAAACACATAATGAATGCACACACTACTGGAAGTCGCTTTGGATAAAAGTGTCTACTAAATGGCATAAATGATATATTATTATTATACATAATGTGAAATAAAACCACATGTATCTGTATATACTATGGAGAGGCTTGGTTGGCCCATTGGCTTTATGTGTTACCTGCACATGTGGGAAGTTTGTGATGAAGTTAGTGGGTAGTTGGACAGAGGGTAGAGGAGCACCAGGAGGAGCCCTGCCCATGACTGCTGGTGCTGGGGTGGGCATGGCCATGGACACAGGGACGGGGGGCTGAGTCATCATGGCCTGCTGGTGCTGGTGCTGCTGGGGCATGACAGGGGCCACAGCCATGGTCAGAGCAGGCAGGTTGGGCACCGGGGGAGAGGGGAACTGGCTTAGGATCTCCACATTCATGGCTGGAAGACCACTCTGCAGGGGAGGGATGAACAGGGATCAGTGGTCAGGTTCAGATAAGGCTACGTCTCCTGAATGATGATTCTATTTTTGTAATATATATATTATTTTTTTATCGCCTTTTTCGATCTTGTCTCATCGCTGCAACTCCCCATCGGGCTCGGGGGGCGAAGGTCGAGTCATGCGTCCTCCGAAACATGACCCACCAAACGCACTTCTTAACACCCGCCCGCTTAACCCGGAAGCCAGCCGCACCAATGTGTCGGAGGAAACACTGTTCAACTGACGACCGAGGTCAGCCTGCAGGTGCCCGGCCCGCCACAAGGAGGCGGTAGAGTGCGATGAACCAAGTAAAGCCCCCCTGGCCAAACCCTCCCCTAACACGGACGATGCTGGGCCAGTTGTGCGCCGCCCCTATGGGACTCCCGATCACGGCCAGTTGTGATCCATCCCGGGATCGAACCCGGGTCTGTAGCGACACCTCTAGCACTGCGATGCAGTCCCTTAGACCGCTGCGCCACTCAGGAGGCCATGAATGATGGACTTTTAGCGTGATATCACTGAAAGTCACAGTTGAGTAACTGCTTAATGCGTTAATGTCAATTTTCATGTTAGACATTTAGAAAATTACATAAACAGGGGTACCCGTCATCCTATAGTGAATAGGCAGTGCTGTCTGTAAGTGTGAGTGCATCGTAACTATAAAACAGTGACGCTGGAAAATTGGGCTTTTCCATTCATCCAACCCAATCATCTATTATAATTATATTCCATCCAGCAGGAGCCAGACACATGTTTTGCTGAAATAAATAATTCATTAAAGTCAAGTTCCATTTTAACAGCCATCACTGGCGGTGGCTTCCCAATCTTTTTCATCACTCTTCAAAGGATGCAGCTCATGGCGGCGCTCCCTCAAGACCCTACATTTACATAACAAAATAAGTGTTATTATTCTCGCTGTGGCAGGCGGCGGTGGCGTGCAGAGTGAGTTGTGCAGTGCATATGATTGTCAGTCTCCCAGGGGTGCTTGTGAGCGGCAGGGCCGGGCAAGGCTGGGGTAGATAAGAGGTCTGCTGTCACACTGGGCTGAGAGGAGACTCAGTCACTTTCACCTGGCTGCCTGAGCTCAGTCACACCACCACCACCACCACCACCATCCTACCAGGGGCCCAGAGCTGAGATTCAGCACAGTCACTCACTATCAGTCTCCCTTTCACTGTCTGGGGTGACTGACTGTAAGACCATTCTTGGAAGATCAACTGTACACATAATAATATGCAATAGGCCTAACTACTAAAGTAAGGTGCTATGAAATATAATATTAGGGACTGTCCTTTACTTCACATGAAGAAAATATCAGTGAAGGATGGTCTTATGTCCCAACTGACAGAAAAAAAACTCAAACCTTTCTGTTGTCAATAACTCTGACCCTTTAAAAAATGTAAGGTGATGCAAATGCCTACCTGTGCCACACCAATCAGAGCCAGGACTGTGTAGAGCTCCTCCTTGGTCAGCATGCCAGGCGTGGTGCGATTGGCTGAGGCCCAGATCTGGCCCAGTGCTTCCCTAGGCAGGCCTGATGACATCAGGATGGGGTAGAGCTTGGCTGTGTCGATGCCCCCCGGAGTCATGGTGAACTGCAGGACCTTTTTGAACATCTCTGGAGGGGAGAAAGAGAAGGCACAGCAACAGGTCAAACATATTATAGAAAGACTGGGTAGAACCAGGAAGTTTTCTCTGACTCATTGGAGAAGGCGTTGGACAGGATCTGAGTAGACACCATAGACATAACACATAATTGGTAGAAACCTGTTCCAAAACATAGGTGTTTACCTGGGATGAGGCTGTCGTTGTAGAGCCAGCCTGGTACCATGGGCTGGATATGCTCTTGTTGAGGGTACCCACCAACACCTGCTGTCAGAAACACAGGGACAGTTAGGTTAGGAGCTGAAGCAGAGACTTAGGGCTGAGTGTACTATGCTCAGCATCTCACCAGACCAGAGCCTGCCTTGTATAGTATAGTATTCTCCACCTGTCTGGAGATCTGAGTGGAAATGTAATGCTGCTCTGCACTGATTCACTAAGGATGAATCCCAAATGGCACCCTAATGCACTACCTTTGACCAGGACCCATATGGGTCTGGCCAAAAGTAGTGCACTATAACGGGAATAGGGTACCATTTGGGATGCCACATCCTAAGCTTCCTGCTGTTTCATACAACTATTAATCTGTCCTTGGACCAGAACCAACTACTCCGACAGCTCCTGAGGGGAATAGAGGGATTGGATTTGGGTTGTCAAACAAATAAATTAGCCTCTCTCTTTAATTCATACTGACATTGATCTAAATCTTCTATGTAACCATGAGGTCCTTTTTTAATGAATGTACTAAGGCGAAGTTACTGATTCAGCAGGTGTAAAAGCAGCTCCTAAAACATACTTAACAAGGTGCATTCGGAGAGGAAAATGTCTCAATGGATGCCTCAGACTAGTATGTCGAAATGACAAATGTTGACTCAAGCAGCTACTTGGCTACATAATCCCCTCATCAGACCAGCTCAATCGTCTCAGACACTTAAATAACTCTATTACAGTTCACCCAGTCTCTATGATGAGGACCCTCTACATTTCCCTGGATGACAGACAGCAAGCGACTGAGGAGAAAGACAAACAAACTAAAGCAAATAGATAGCAGCAGAATAGCAGAATCAGAATGAGGCCTCAGCTTTAGACCAACGGGATCCCAGTAGGTACGGGTCAATCCAAGCGTAGCATCTTATCCATGTTAAACCCAAGCAGTCAGCAGCATGCGCCAGTCTCTCTATGACTGCGTCAAATTACACCTATTAACTACAGAGCCCTATGGGCCCTGGTCAAAAGTAGTACACTATATAGAAAATAGGGTGCCATTTGGGACAAAGCAAGAGCGGTCAATCTCTGGGAAAGTGTTCCCCAGTAGAGGAACAGACAGAGGCTTATTGAGTTAGCAGCCAGGTATTCCTCCAGGGGATCTCCAGAGATACAGAGCATTTCCACATTGTGTAGGCTAGCGAGGGCCCAACGTGAGACAGGCCTAATGAGATCTGGATGGAGGAGACCCAGCAGAAAGATTCCTCAGCTATATAGGATAGTCCCGAAGCAGTTACCCAAGGAGGTAGAGATGGGACACTCTAGTCCCTATGAGTGACTCATACAAAACAGGATAAATGACATCAAGAGCTTTTAGGCTTTGCCAACCTAATCTGTGAGCCCAGAGGTGGTTAGTATGATTTCCATTACAGATAGGAAAATCAAGAGAAGTATCAGGGTTAGAAACAGTAAAAATCACATTGTCTGAAGTCTTATCAGTCAACGTTGAAGTGTTTGCTGAAAAATAAGAGGAATCGGGGGCATTCGGCCATTAGATAGGCCCCATGCTCTGCGTTGATTGTGTGTTAATTCTGCAGTGATCGAAGGCAGAGAGAGAGACTGTTAATAAATGGTTTATTTTCTCACCACTGTCACTACTGGTTTGGGGAGGAGGGGTGTCGGCTGATGGTGAGGGGGCTGTGGGTCCCTGTGCTGGTGCCTCTGGTTGTGGTGTTTCTATAGTGAAGGCAGAACTCAGGTCCCCAGGAGCCTCAGCCCAGTTCCGGGCCTTGGTGCTGGAGTGAAACTGGGCCGAGACTGTAGCTCTGTTAGGGGCCAGGGTCCTCTGGGACTTAAAGCTAACCTGGGCCTTCTTTTCAGCCGTTAAATCACACGAGGAGAACAGTTTCTCTTCCAGAGACGGGCCTAGAGAAGTGGGTGAGGAGGAACACAGCTGCTTGATATCACAACCATTTATACTGCCTGTTTATTAGTTCTACTGGCCCCTCCTCAGTATGGACGGTAGAGTGAATTTAGATTTCACAGAAACTGATTTCTCATTACTTTACAGCTGTAATTCAGTGTGCAAATCTGAACTCAGGGACACTTTAAGGGTGTAGAAATGTAACGCTTCAGCAGCTTCACACATTACATGACAAATATTTTCAACTTTTGCACCTAGGTGGAGCTACTGGCTGCTTACTGAATGCTACAGATAGGCTAGGCTATCACTTTCCAGGTCGGTGGCACCGGCAGCATATCAAAGAGCTACAGCAGGGTTGTCAAACTCATTTTGCCACGGGGGCCGCATTGGTCTTCAGTGAGGTCCGGAGGGCCGCACTGGAAATTGGTTATAATTTGCAAAAAATAGTCCTCTATCCATTGTTTTTGGAATTTACTATGCTCTCTGACTGTCAAGCTTTCATTTCAGTGATTATTAGCAAGCAGGACACATACAAGAAACTGTATCAATATAGGTTCATTATCATTTCTACACAGTTTCAATTTGGTTTTAGTCATTTAAAAAAATGTTTTAAAATGACCACCCGCGGGCCGGATTGGACCCCCTCGCAGGCCGGATCCGGCAGTATGTTTGACAACTCTGGGCTAGAGCATGTTTGTGCCACCTAATTGGCTTATTACAGATGGGAGACAAATAGGTCACTAACTCCTTAAAGGATTTGAGATAAAACAAAATAAAAAGGGAATTCTGCCGTGTGCGTGTGTGTGCGCTCTCAGCTGGTGTGTCTCCTCTGTAGGCCAGTTCGAGCCCCCTCCGTCTCCGTACAGAGATCACAGGGACTGATCCAGGAGATTACAAGGCAGAGGCACAACGAGCCAGGTTGCGTCTCAAACGGCACCATATGGGATGCTACTTCAGTCTCCTGTCCTCCTGGTGTGTTTACTTTCTGTCAGAGTCTTCCATCTCTTCCTCACTATAACTGGTTTATCAGGGTCACTGCCAGCCAGAGTGAGCAGTGACAGTCACAGCCCATACTGGATGGTGCAGATACATGTGCCACTGGGAGTATTTTACTAAATGTCAGTACTGCTTTTAATGGAGGCAGAACTGGTTGTTGGGTACAGAACTCACACGGTTTACTTTGTAGTGTGCGTTAACTTAAAGGCTTAAGTGATCTGACCATCTGTCGTGCCGTCTGTATGCTTACTGTAAACTGACTACAAGCAGAGTCTGACGCTAGATGGTTTGACGCCACGATGCTGTACAGCAGCACTGGTCACATTGTGTTATTGGTTGATTATGAACACTGAACACTGACTTATGAGGTTGATGCAAACAAAAAAACAGTTACCTTGAAATGCAGATTGGGAGCTGGAGTTGAGAGTAGAGTGTTGGGTGGCAGTAGGAATGGACACAGAAGCAGGGAGGGACTGGGGGAGGGGGGCAGAGGACGGTCTCTGACCAGGACCTGGGTCTAAAGACTGGGGAAGGGCCTGGGAGGAGGGGGGGAAGACTGAGGAGGAGGAGGGGAGGAAGGAGGAAGAGGCATCTACGGGACCCTGCATAAAGTCACTAAACTCGTCATCGTCATTGGGGAAAGCAGGGGGGAGGGAGTGAGAGGTGACGGAAGAGTGGGATGGCGATGAGTCTGTAAAAATGGAGGAAGAATGATAAATGGCACAACAAGACAACACAGGCTACGATGACGGGAGGAGGACAAAGTGCACAGTGCTATAGTAGTGAATTACACACTGGGTGGTTTGAGCCCTGAATGCTGATTGGCTTACAGCCGTGGTATATCAGACCGTATACCACAGGTATGACAGAATATTTATTTTTACTTCTCTAATTACATTGGTAACCCGTTTATAATAGCAATAAGGCACCTCTGGGGTTTGTGGTATATGGCCAACATACCACGGCTAAGGGCTGTACCCAGGCACTCCGCGTTGCGTCGTGCTTAAGAACACCCCTTAGCCGTGGTATATTGGCCATATACCACACCCCCTCTGGCATTATTGCTTTAATATAAAGGCCAGTTTGTGCAGGCTCAGAAAATCTACCACAGATTCTTAAGCAAATTATTGTTGAATATGTTTATTATATGAAATAATAAATATGATAATGTCCATAGTTAATAGAGTGGAAAGCAGAACTCATGTCCCCAGGAGCCTCAGCCGCTCATTCCCAGGGCCTTGGCCCCAGTTCCGGGCCTGGTGTGGAGTGAAACTGGCCAGTGACTGTTAGCTCGGTTTAGGGGCCAGGGTCCTGTGGGACTTAAAGCTAACCTGGGGCCTTTCTTTTCAGCGTTTAAATCACACGAGGAGAACAGTTTCTCTTCCAGGACGGGCAGTATGAGAGGTTGGGTTGAGGAGGAACACAGCTGCTTGATATCACAACCATTAATTCTGCCTGATTCTTAGTTCTATTAGCCCCTCCTCAATAAGGAGGGTAGAGTGAATTTGGATTTAACAGAAACTGACCATCATTACTTTACAGCTGTCATTCAGTGTGCAGAATCTGAACTCAGGGACACTTTAAGAGTGTAGAAATGTAGTGCTTCAGCAGCTTCACACATTACATGAAAAATATGTATACGTTTTGCACCTAGGTGGAGCTACTGGCTGCTTGCTGAATGCTACTGATAGGCTGGGCTATCCCTTTCCAGGCCAGTGGCACTGGCAGCATATAAAAGAGCTACAGCAGGGGTGTCAAACTCATTTTGCCCCGGGGCCGCACTGGTCTTCAGTGAGGTCCGGACTTAAAATGTATTATAATTAGCTAAACAAAATCCTCTATTCATCGTTTTTTGAATGTTCTATGCTCCCTGACTGTCTAGCTTTCATTTAGGTGACTACTAGCAAGCTGGACACAGTCAAGAAACTGTAGGAATATAGGTCCATTATCATATCTTCAGTTTTGATTTGGCATTAGTCATTTTAAATTATATTTTAAAATGACCACCTGCGGGCCAGATTGGACCCCCTCGCAGGCCGGATCCGGCCGTATGTTTGACACCCCTGGGCTAGAGCATGTTTGTGCCACCTAATTGGCTTTTTACAGATGGGAGACAAGTAGGTCACTAACTCCCTAAAAGATTTGAGTTGGGTGTTTTTTTACGCAATTCCTTACGCGTGTGTGTGTGTGTCTGTGCATACCAGCTCTCAGCTGGTGTGTCTCCTCTGTAGGCCAGTTAGAGCCGCCTCCGTCTCCGTACAGAGAACACAGGGACTGATCCAGGAGATTACAAGGCTGTGTCTCAAACGGCACCCTATTCCACTGTCTATTCCATTAGGGAATAGGGTGCCATTTGGGACGCTACCTCAGACTCCTGTCCTCCTGGTGTTTCTACTGTCAGTCTTCCATCTCTTCCTCACTATAACTGGCTTATCAGGGCCATTGCCAGGCAGAGTGAGCAGTGACAGTCACATCCCATACTGGATGGTCCAGATACATGTGCCACTGGGAGTATTTTACTAAATGTCAGTACTGCTTTTAATGGAGGCAGAACTGGTTGTTGGGTACAGAACTCACACGGTTTACTTTGTAGTGTGCGTTAACTTAAAGGCTTAAGTGATCTGACCATCTGTTGTGCCGTCTGTATGCTTACACACAGTAAACTGACTACAAGCCGAGTCTGATGCTTGAGGGTTTTCAACACCACAATGCGGTACGGCCTATCGTCGCATCAGCAGCACTGGTCACATTTTCCAAACTGTGTTATTGGTTGATTATGAACACTGACTTAAGAGGTTGATGCAAACAAGAAACAGTTACCTTGAAATGCAGATTGGGAGCTGGAGTTGACAGTAGAGTGTTGGGTGGCAGTAGGAACGGACACAGAGGCAGGGAGGGACTGGGGGAAGGGGGCAGAGGAGGGTCTCTGACCAGGACCTGTTTCTAAAGACTGGGGATGGGCTTGGGAGGATGGGGTGAAGGAGGAAGAGGCATCTACGGGCCCCTGCATAAAGTCACTAAAGTCGTCATGGTCATCGGGGAAAGCAGGGGGGAGGAGAGTGAGAGGTGACAGAAGAGTGGGATGACGATGAGTCTGTAAAAATGGAGAAAGAATGATAATGGCACAACAAGACACAGGCTACGATGACGGGAGGAGGACACAGTACACAGTGCTATAGTAGTGAAACATAAAGGCTAGTTTGTGCAGGATCAGAAAATGTAACACACATTTTAAAGAAAATGATTCTTGAATATGTTTATCATATGAAATAATAAATATGATAATGTCCATAGTTAACATGAACTAAGGATGACAGACCAGTTAATACTAAATAAATAAGGTGGTAAGTTTGATGTTTGCTAATAGACAACTTTCTGTAACGCACAAGATAATGACAGTGAGAGACACAGTAGGTAAAGTTGAAGATCTAAAACAAAGTGAAACGTGACAGAAAAACAGAAGATTATGTTGGTCTCCAAGTATGATATAATCTTTGGGAGACACAGAGGCAGATACAGGCTGCTCTGTCCTTTGCAACAGCTGCTGTCACAGTCTGGCAGTCACCAGCCTGTCTGTCTGTCTGTCTGTGTGCTTACACCTCAGAGGCAGCCTTATCATTCTCAGGGGAGGCAGTTCAGTCAGCCAGCAGGGGAGTGGAGCTGTGTCCTGACTCCTGGAGGACAGATAGTGAGGAAACATAAAGTGAAGGACAATGACTGTACTGATGAGCGTACCTGGCTTCTTGGGGTGTGAGGATGGCGTGGGATGCATCTTGGCGTCTCTGCTGAACCCGTCCAGGTTGCCTTTGATAGCCTCCAGCGCGTCATCCCGACTCGCCCCCATCTGTCCCTGTGGATGGGACAAAGCAGGGCTCAGGGGGGAGTGTCTCTAGACTGACAGCATGGATGCGTCCTAAATTGCACCCCATGCGTCCTTATCACACTAAGACCGAATGAGGGCAGTAGCCAGGCATGATGGTGGGTGGGTAGATGATGTGGCTCACCTTGGGTTTGACACTGCTCAGCAGCCTCAGCTTCTGTTTCTGCTCCTCAAACTGCCTCCTCTTCCTGTCCTCCTCCAACATCCTCTGCTGCTGCTCCAGACGCTTCCTACACGAAGAACACATAGGACAGCATAACGCTTAACACACACCACTGACCACATTTAAGACAGCATACAGCATCAACACACACACTGACCAACACACAGAACAGTCTAACCACACACACTGGCCCTAACACAACCACCATGACCACCTAGACAGCATACAGCTAAACACCACACTGACCACACCATAAGACAGCATACAGCCTACACAAACACACTGACCACACAGACAGCCATACAGCTAACACACACACTGACCACACAGACAGCATTACAGCTAACACAACCACTGACCACACAGGACAGCATACAGCTAACACACCACACTAATGACCACACAGACAGCATACAGCTAACACACACACTGACCACACAGACAGCATTCACAGCTAACACACACACTCGTACCACATAGACAGCATACAGCCCTAACACCACACTACCACCACCTACGCCTAACACACACACTGACCACCAGACAGCATTACAGGCTAACACACACACTTGACCACACAGGACAGCATTACAGCCTAACACACACACTGCACCACACAGACAGCATACACTAACACACACATGACCGCAACAGACAGCATACAGCTAACACACACACTGACCACACAGACAGCATACAGATAAACACACACACTGACCACACAGACAGCACTACCAGCTAACACACACACTGACCACATTAGACAGCCGTACAGCTAACACACACACTGACCACACAGACAGCATACAGCTAACACACACACTGACCACACAGACAGCATACAGCTAACACACACACTGACCAACACAGACAGCATACAGCTAACACACACACTGACCACACAGACAGCATACAGCTAACACACACACTGACCACACAGACAGCATACAGCTAACACACACACTGACCACATAGACAGCATACAGCTAACACACACACTGACCACACAGACAGCATACAGCTAACACACACACTGACCACACAGACAGCATACAGCTAACACACACACTGACCAAACAGACAGCATACAGCTAACACACACACTGACCACACAGACAGCATACAGCTAACACACACACCTGACCAAACAGACAGCATACAGCTAACACACACCACTGACCACAACAGACGCATAACAGCTAACACACACACTGACCACATAGACAGCATACAGCTAACACACACACTGACCACACAGACAGCATACAGCTAACACACACTGACCACACAGACAGCATACAGCTAACACACACTGACCACACAGACAGCATACAGCTAACACACACTGACCACACAGACAGCATACAGCTAACACACACTGACCACACAGACAGCATACAGCTAACACACACACTGACCACACAGACAGCATACAGCTAACACACACACTGACCACACAGACAGCATACAGCTAAACACACACCTGACACAGACAGCTACAGTACACACACTGACCACACAGACAGCATACAGCTAACACACACACTGACCACACAGACAGCATACAGCTAACACACACTGACCACACAAACGATACACTAACACACACGACCACACAGAGCATACAGAACACACACGACACACAGCGCATACAGCTAAACACACACTGACCACAAGACGATACAGAGGACGACAACACGCAGGAAAGAAAGACAGAGAAAAGAGAAAGCACGAGAGAGCGAGAGAAAGAGAGAGAGAGCGAGAGAAAGAGAGAGAGAGCGAGAGAAAGACAGAGAGAGAGCGAGAGAAAGACAGAGAGAGAGCGAGAGAGAGAGCGAGAGAAAGACAGAGAGAGAGAGAGAGAAAGACAGAGAGAGAGAGAGAAAGAGAGAGAGCGAGACAGACAGAGACAGTGAGAGAAAGGCTCTTACTGGTGTTCCTCAGCCATCTGTTTCTGCATGTCGGCAGTGTACTGGGGCCCGGGGCCCCTCATGCCCATAAACTGTGGCTGGCCCATGAACTGCATCCCAGGGGCCTGCATCCCCATGGCCATCCCGCCCTGCACAGAACACACACACACAAAACGGGGGTCTCGTTAGCATTCATAGCATTCCTTTCTTTCAATAATATCACAGTACAGTGGCAGGAAACCAATGCATTTCTAAGTGGTTGTCATACCGCAATCACTACATAACTACAACCACTTCGACTGGAAATAATGTGTGCTATTAACACTATGCAATACAGAGGTCCTAACATTACAGCAGTGAAAGGAGGAAAAGTTGTCATTTGATAAAACAAAGAGCAAAGAGACAGAGATAAAGGCTGAGGATGTGGTGAGGATGAGGCAACGCCCTGCAAAGTGCTCCTTCGTCTAAGTGTCTAGCCTGAATGTGAGAGGTAGCTTGAGGCAGACTCCTCTCTCATAAAGAGCTGCATTACAGGAGAGATCGTCTGGCCCTTCTTCTTTTGGCTTATTTAAAACCTCAGAGGACCAAAGAGCCAGTAATGTAAAACAGAGTACGTTTCACTCTAGAGTAGGGGTGTCAAACTCATTCCACGGAGGGCGAGTGTCTGCGGGTTCCTTACTAATTAGTGACCTTAATTCATCAATCAAGTACAAGGGAGGAGTGAAAACCCGCAGACACTCAGCCCTCCGTGGAATGAGTTTGACACACATGCTCTAGAGTAATGAGAGGAATATGTTGTGGCCATTGCATTCAAATACACACACTGGTACACGCACACACAAACAAACACACACCCGCACACACACACGCAAACACACACACGCACACACACACACACACACACACGCACACACGAACACACACACACACACGCAAACACACACGCACACACACGCGCACACACACGCGCACACACACACACACACACACACACACACACAACCCACCTGCATAGGCATGGCACCAGGAGGCATCTGGCCTCCGAAGTTCATTCCCATCATCCCTTGCATGTTGGGCTGCATTTGAACTTGGACCATACCAGGGAAGCCCTGTTGTTGTTGCTGCTGCTGTTGCTGCATGGGCATCATGCCTGGACGAAAACACACAACCCATGTACAGTCAATCACAAGCTCTGCAAATGGCTATACTGACAAAGGTTTGTTGCAAACCGTAAAGATAGCATGTAGTCACTGAAGCATGAACATGTACTATATAAGTACAGTTTGCCCAACTGGACTGGAGTGTGTTATTGGAACTTCCCCAGAAATAGGTTAGATGTGCATTGTGCAGTGAATTATTATTGCAAACACATTTCCTGGACAGCGAAGAATAAACAGAGGCTCAGCAACAACCCAATCTGTTTTGCCTGTGTGAGTGGAGTGCTGTGACAGCTCAGAGCAAAACAGAGGAGTACTAGGGGATAGAACTAGAGAAAGTGTTTGTTTGCACAGATGCTCTGGCTGACAGTCCTCCTGGAGCCTACACATGATTTACCATATAACGCCCCAACCAGGCTAAATAATGGGTTATGGCTCATCCAAACAAAGTGGTGCATGCATTCTGATGCGTACTTGCTGAAACATCTGACGACCCCCAACACAGCCACAAGGGTGTGTGTGTGTTTGTTTATGAAGAGTGTCATTGTAAACTCAACAAACACCCTATACATACAACATAAGCTACATGGTACCAGAAAGTTGTCATGGGTAATGACGTAAGCTTAGTATTGTTAAGTCATGTGGTCAATTCCACAGCTTCCTATCACATTGCCAATTCCACAGCTTCCTATCACACTGCCAATTCCACAGCTTCCTATCACACTGCCAATTCCACAGCTTCCTATCACACTGCCAATTCCACAGCTTCCTATCACACTGCCAATTCCACAGCTTCCTATCACACTGCCAATGTGAGATGATCAAATATCCCCATTAGCTAATAAACTATTAGGAACAGATAGGACATAAGGCTAGCCTAGGCCCTATGTATTGTAATTGACTGATGTTGTTGTTGATAGTGCACACTGCACATCTGAACTGACTTTACTCTGAACTCTGATAAACATCATTAGACCCTACACCCAAACGAGGGCACTACGTTCATCCACCTCTGGCCTGCTAGCCCCCCTACCTCTACGGAAGCACAGTTCCCGCTCAGCCCAGTCAAAGCTATTCGCTGCTCTGGCACCCCAATGGTGGAACAAGCTCCCCCACGACGCCAGGACAGCGGAGTCACTGACCACCTTCCGGAGACACTTGAAACCCTACCTCTTTAAGGAATACCTGGAATAGTATAAAATTAATCCTTCTACTCCCCCACAAAAATAAATAAAAAAGTGGTTCTCCCATTGGCTATCATAAGTTGAATGCACCAATTTGTAAGTCGCTCTGGATAAGAGCGTCTGCTAAATGACTTAAAATGATGAGTTATTGGTTAGGCCTATTTACTGAATCCAAAAACTTCTCAAGAAACCAAGGCACATAGGAGAGTGAAGTGCCCGGGGAGATTTGGAAAAGTAGCGCTGAATGACAGGACACGTCACAAATGGTACACTATTCCCTATTTAGTGCACTACTGGTCAAAAGTACTGCACTAAATAGGGAATAGGGTGCCATTTGGGATGTCGACCGTAGGATGACTCACCTGGCGGTCCCAGGCCCCCTCCAACAGGATAAATAAAACTGCAGGAGAGAAGGAAAAACACAGGTCAATAACACAGCTAGAGACAAGCCTAAAGCGGAAACTACTGGAGAACATCTAGGCTGAAATCCTTCAACTGTCACTCATAATAGGCTATCACATAAAAGTAGGAATGATTGGGCTATTCATCGAAAATCATTCAGTAAATGGATCATTATCAGTTCACACACCAATAATTTGTCAGACATTAGGCAATGTGACACAATAGCTATCATTTGAACAATGGAGTCATCATTCACATCACAAAGCATAACCAAAACTAGAGATTGGATATGATTTCCTTACAATGGCACGGAGAGAAAGTAAAATAATAAACGTGTAACTGTATGGTGATGTGGCAGTACCTCCCTTTCCTGTTCGGCTAGGCAGCCTGGACTTGAATTCAGTGTGGCCCTTATTGTTCTAGCTCACTGCTTTCCAGGGAATGCATGAATGAATATTGCATTGACCGTGAGCACTAAACCTGACAGGCAGGAAGAAAAAATTATACAATAACACTTTGCTGTTGCGCAGAACAACATTTATCGATCAGGGAATGAGCTCCTCTGACAACAGCCATTGCGGAATGCTTCTCCTAGCGTATCCGTGCTCTAATTTGCCATAGTGGTTAAGTAATAACAGCCAGACAGATGGTTTTCATGAGAATGCACGTCAGTGGTTGTTTCATGTGCTGTAATTGATGGAGAATCTGTCTAGATCATGATGCGGCAGGGAAATGGAGACAGAGCAGGAATCTATAGAAATATAGATTCTAAGAACAGACTGTGTCAGAGAATGAGATAAGAGACAGAGGGATGAAGAGTGAACAAGGCCAACTTGGCACTATGACACAGTCTGCTTTTTCTCTGACTCCTCCTCTCACTGGCTCTGTGGTCACACTGATGCTGGAGGTGAAAAGAGGTGGATGAGGATACAGCTGCCCATCATAACACCTGAGACTACCAATACCCAGCTAAGCCCAGTAGCCCAGTCCATCCTACAGAGCAGTACACTGGACCTTGAGGCTTCACTTCACAACTGCCATTTCAGGCAAATCCATTCATCCATCCATCCAAATGGCACTTGCAAGCTTGGTTTTTTTCTCCATCTTGTCAAAATATTCCTTTCCCAATGGTACCAAAATGCCATTCGAGACAGAAAACTTTATTTTTCTATTTTAGAATCCCAGAATCATAAAATGATAATTTGAAAGAACGTACTATTCCTTTGTTTACAAATGGAATAACACAATGCAATAACAATACCAGGATGCTTTCCCTTGACCTGGGCTTGATGTGGAATGAGAGATTCTGGCTCACATCTGTTCTCCCTCAGATTTAGCCTGTAGCTTTACAGAGCTTTCATAGCAGCGCTATGCTACGCAACCACAGCAAATGAAACCCCCTGGAATAACAGTGCAGATTAACCCAGAGTGAGATCAGCAGTGCCAGTGATACAAGCTGTGGGCTCTGTATAGGCCATTGCATTGTACAAGGCCTGTGTTCATTAATGCAACCAACATCGTAGGGCAAATTTAAGGCTTGAGCCATGCCACCTGCATACAGGTGCTTCTACACAGTAACTAGCGTACCAGATCCGTGTGTATCATTAGGCCTAATGTGCTTACTCCTTTTCACTCTGGTAAAAATGTCAACAAAAGCACTGATCATTCAACATTAATGAACTCCTCATACGAGCGTTACATTTTGTAGTGCATCCATCTATTGCAATGTGCACTCACTGCACTGCAACCTAATGTAAACCATACTTCTGGAAGTCTTTCATACTTTTAATTATCTTGGCATTTTGGACACAATTAATGAATAATGTGCATACTGAAAGTTCTGGAAGCACCAGTTGGCCTATTAGCTAGGCTTGTTGTCGTACATCTTAGTCACGTACCCTCCCAAAATCGAATTAAACAGCTCGGCTTTAAAACATTAATATGATACTTAACTATGAACCTATTAAATAACAATTTACCCTGTCTTGAGCAATTCATCCAAGTACAATTTCTCAGTCTCACCCATCCAAGCACTTTGAATTAAGATTAATGCTACCTATAGCTGAGGTTTTCCCACAAGCTCAACAGAACTCCAAAAGTTAGCTAGTACCTGTTGCTAAAGTACAGCTCTCCTATCGCAACTCCCTATAGGCCTAGTGGTGTGCTAGTCCCATGATGTATGAGACTTTCTGGTCAAAAGTAGTGCACTACATTGATAATAGGGTGCCATTTGGGACATAACCTCAGTGCTATGCCAGGCAGCAGGGCCAGTGAAGAGTAGACTCATGCCTCTGGCTCCTGTTGACAGCCTGGTATCAGGATGGGTTTCATTATTTCCAGGCTAGCCTGCCAGCACAGCGCCTGCCTGCTCCTCTTCCATGGCTCAGTGTGCCACATTCTGTCATCAAGTAGTATGCCCACCACCCACCACACCACACAGCCTTCACCATTCACCACACACTATCACAGTCTCACACACACACAGCAGAGCTATGCACAGCTAGCCCCGGTCACGTTCGCTGATCTGAGACCACTAGCCAGCCCTTTGGGTGTAGACGCCTCACTAATAGAGAAGGGGGAGAGGCCTGAATAATACCAATAGAACCAGAGAAACAATCTTCTCTACAGATCTTAGCTTTCAATATGGATAAGTTCAGCTGCTCAGCACTCTAAATGAGCACTTCACTTATATCTGACCCACACCAATGCTCTTAAAGTACACCAATGCCAGGACAAGAAATGTCTCCAGAACGTTTGTTAGCCAGAGACAAACATCACCTGTTATTTTCTATGAGACCATATGTGAGATAGGCTACTCTGGCCAGCCTAATCTGTAAACCTAATCTTAAACTATTTGGTTTCTTCAGCAGCAGTATCTGTATCACCTGGCTGGTCGGGTCCAGAGGCATGTAGCAGGCAGACATTCATTATTCACACTGCTCAGCTCAGGCCCAAGCTGCTGATGAAAAAGTCATGAGGCTAGCCTTTTCATCTCCACTGTAGGACGACCTGCTGCTTCACCAATATCAACAGGCTCATGCAGGAGTCAGCAGAACTCAAGATTTTACTAAATATTAAAAATGTGTCATAGACCTCTACACCAATTGCTAATAACTGAGAGGAGATTTAAAACCAAGGCTTCATTTCACTACAACAGCTCTGGCCTTTCAGCCTATAAGTACCCGCTAGAGAACGTTGCCAGGCATCCTTTTTAGCATACTCATCAGATTCATATCAACCCGCAAGTTGCGCAAAAATAAGCACCTAGATTTGATAAATAGTACATAAACAATTGTAAAGCATGAATTGCATTTAGAAATATTGATGGAAATATATTTAAGGATATAACAACAATAAATAAAAAAACATAGGCCTAAAGTACATTTTCAACACTTCCAGCCAATGAC